GTAGGAGTATTCTGAGTTGGAGTTGTCACTTTGCATGACATAAAACTTTTTTGTAGAAGGTATAGTCTCATAGTATTTATAGTTTTTATTTTTAATAAAAGTTATTTTTTTTAGCTTCATTAAAAGCAGATGTACATTCTTCTACTAAGCTTTGGCGATTTAACTTGGGGTGTTGCTTGTCTGCAATAATTTGCTTACACGTTGCAAAACTCCTGCCCTGTAAAAAAAGTCAATCCGTTTTTTATATTCCATCTTATTTCCGTAAAAGGCTCATTTTTACGGAGTTTTTACAGAAATAATGGATAACATTTTTTATAGGGTTGATATTTATTTTGTGGTTGTTTATATATACAAACAAATCATGGCAAGTTCAATTTAGTTCTTATTTTTTTAATCAGTAAATTTGATATATATATATTTTAGCCAATCATCAGGTGGGTGAGTTCAGTATAGGGATTGGAATCGATTAATCGAAAATCGACAAAACATAGTAAAATCGATTCTCGAGAATCGATTCTCAGCAATTTTTTACATATAAGTTAACCTGACTCCAAAGTAATTTTTCATGCCGGCCAAGTGCTGATTATTTTTGCTGAATTAGAAACTGATCCAAAGTCAAGTTGGTCGTCTATAAGAAAAAATCTTGAAAAGATTCGATTTTCGATTCCAATCCCTAGTTCAGTAGTCTTCTAATTGAACGAAATCAGCTGATTTCTGGCACGCTCCTTACAAATATATTTATATTCGAAATAAATAAAAATTTTCCAAGCCTTAAATTAAAAATAGAATTTATTAAAGGAAATTTATTAAATAAGTTAGTATCTAGTGTCTTAACAAACATCTTTAGTAATTCTAATGTTTAAGTGCACATTAGTGAAAACGCTAAACAATTTTATAAGTGAAATATCTTCAAATTAATTTGAATTACATTTATATACATTTTAATAAAATATTACCGGGAACCTTATGTATTTACTTGAAATGATTAATTATATGAATGTAAGCTTTTTAAAAAATTTATATGTTCAGTACAATATTTTTGAAGAATGATCATATTGAAATACAAATTTTCCCGTTTAAAAAACTTGAAAAATTAATAAATTAATACACTAATAAAATTGATATTTAAATAGAAATCAAAAAAGGTAAAACCACTAAAAAAGTAAAAAGTAAATTACATGAAAAGACTATGATATAGATAGTCAACTTAAAAGCCAATAAATTATACTTTTCATGTTAAAGTCATGATTTCACAAAATAACTATTACTAAATACAATGAGTTTAATTTTTTACATTATATTTGCAAGAATTAGAATTTGAATTCATGAAACTCAAATCTGATAACTCAAACTCTTTAATAGGAATGAATGCTTTTATTTATTAATCGTTGTTATACTAAACATTTTAAGAAGACTATAAGTTCATTTATTTAACTTAATTTCAAATTTTTTCAATTTATTTTTAGAAAATAGGTTTCCTTGTTCAGCAGATTTTTTGTACCAATAAATTGCTTGATCTATGTCTTTCATAATTCCATCTCCTATTTCATACATTGAGGCAAGATCACATTGAGCTATATCACTTCCTAAATTTGCTGCTTTTTGATAGAATTCAAATACCTTCTGCTTATTAACTTCAGTTCCAATTCCTTTATTATAACACCAACCTAAACTAATAATCCCATCTATACTTCCTAAATCTGCTGCCTTTTGATATAATTCAAATGCTTTTTCTTCATTAGTATCAGTTCCAATACCTTCGTAATAACAACAACCTAAGTTAACCATTCCTTTAAGATTTCCTAATTCTGCTGCCTTTTGATAGAATTTAAATGCTTTTTCTCCATTAAAATAAGTTCCAATTCCAGTATCATAACAAAATCCTAAATTATTCATTGCACTTGCATATTCTTCTTCTGCTAATTTTTTAGATAATTCAAAAGCTAAATTATAATTTTTGTTAGAACTTTGTCCATAAAGATGTTCATTGACAAGATTTAACTGTGCTAATCTATTTTCTAATTCTGCAGCATTTTGATATAATTCCATTGCTTTTAGTTCATTAAGTTCAGTTTCAATTCCATGATAATTAAAATATCCAAGAAGACAAATAGAATTTGAATTGTTTTGGTTATTTAAAAGCCAAATATAAATTTGTTTTAAATTTATCATTTGATTATTAATATAATCAAGAACTTGTTGCTTTATTACATTTGTATCTTCACCTTTATTTAGTTCATTAAAAATGAGATTAACCAACTCATCAATCACAATATTAAAATCTCCATCAAAAACATATTTGTTAATATTTTTGATTGTAGGCTCAATTTCTTCTATATTCATTTTATTAAAATTTTGAATAGCTTGAGAAAATTTTTGCAACAAAATATTAGTGTTTGAAAAATTAATATTTTTGGAATTAATTTGTTTATTGGACATTGTGAAATATTTAAAAATAAGGAGAAAAGAGAGTTTGAATATATTATTTTTTTTTTTTACAACTTAATTTGTATTTGTAATACCTGTTGATCAACTTTGTGCTTCCGCAGCAAATTTTTAAAGTTAGTACAATTAGTCGATCAGCTGTTGCAAAACGGAGAAATCTAAATAATAAAAATTACATAGCTTATTATATAACCAGTAAAAAATAATTATTGTATAAAAAATTTTTTTTTATGCAAACTATGCAAACTAAATTTTTATTTTGTACATGCATAAAACATAAATAAGCATAATATGATGGAATAAGACAGAATAGCACGCAAATAAAATTTTTTCTTTATTTAAAATTAAATAATCATTACAATACTTATTGCCATTTTTACTGAAACTAACAAGATGATTTAAATTTTGCCACAAAAATTTCACATCATATACAAATAAGTATGTTGTGAAAAAACTATACTTTCTATTTTCTCTTTTCAGCTTTTCTGAAACAAACTAAAACTAGAAGCATCATCAAATTTAATTATATAAATTAGAATATGTGAATTAATAATAAATATTTTTATCAAATGAGATTTTTAATACCATTAAGTATGTTGTGCCAACGTTCGTTAGATATAGATTGATACTTAAATCACGTCAATAATTTTAATCATTAAACATATTTATTTATAACATTAAAAAATATAAAATTCTAAAATATCAGGCTCAAACTTATGAAAAACACTTCATTAAAATTCATTAATAAATTATAAGTTTTTTTTCAAGTAAATTTACATTGTATAATTTTCATATAAGTGCGATCCATAATATGATTGGTTATTCCTAACCAACACGTGACTTTTACGGCGAAGCTTTGATTCCTTTGATTTCCATCATTAGACTTTTAAAATGATTTAAAGAAAACGTGACTCTGTCATATGTGTTATGTGTTACACTGCATATATAGATCTTTTTTTATAAATAGCTAGGGGTGATTGCACGTATTCTTCTAAGAAACAAACTTCGTTATGAATTATAGTAAAGCCTAAAAATCATCCGTATCAGTCCCGTAAGTGAAGTCAAATTCAGGTTAGGCATATTTTTCGTATAAGTCAATGTTGGGTTACTCTTGTGAGATGGCCTAACTAGAAAAAATACCTATTTGACAAGGCGGTTTGTTTGTTCCACAAAGGTAATCTTTGTCAAATGAGGTTTCTCTAAATAGGGTCTGCTTATTCCGGAGAAGAAGTAGGGTTAGATTGGTCTCAACAAAGACCGGACCTGCATCGGTCTTCATGGTCTATGGTCCAAGATTTGAAGACTGGTCCGGACCAGGACTGATCATATGATTTTTTTGTATACAATAAATTGAACCCAAATTTTTGTGCTCATCTATTTCTATTTTGGATTTTAATTCCAAATTATCGAAATGAATTTATTTATAATAAAGTTATATAAAACTTTTTTAAAATCAGAACTCAGAGTTCTACAAAATGTTTTGTTATTAGGATAATTGTAACTTCAATTACAATTCCTAATTCCAATTTATAATTTAAATTTTTTGCCAATTTCTTATTTAAATCCCACGTTTTGCTGATTAAATATTTCATTATTTCTTATTTAAACACATACGCGAACTTCCAACCATCTCAATATATGTATAAATTATAATAAGAAAAAGCAAAGACAATTATTCAGAAGATGAATGTAACGATGCTATTGAACTTGATGACAAATAAGAAACTATAAATATATGTCCAAGGACGAACTCGTGGCTGAAGACGAAGATTAACTCATGCTGAAAGATGAGTTTATGGTTTAAGATGAAGGTGAATTGCTAAAACTTTAATAATTTTTTTTTAACTAAACCTTTTCATCCATCAGTAAAATTTTTGGCATTGGTATCCATAAGGATTCACTCAATTTGTCTAGAATCCTTAAGGATCCATAAATTCTTTAAAAAATCCTTGTAACTCATTCAAATATCTTCAAGGAAACTATAAAATTATAAAAATTATAAAATCCTAAGGGATTCTTAAATATAAAATCTTAAGGAATGGTTAATAATTTAATTAACGTATATTTATAAAAATTAAAAAATCAAACTATAGAATGTAAAAGAAATTGGCGAGTATAAAATAATAAAAAATGTGAAAGACAGCAGTTGTCAATTATTAACTGACGCGGCGTCAAGTGTCGATAGACATCTAACGTGCGTCAGCTGCATCTGACGCTTTGACGCACAACACATATACAAGAAATTTAGCTAAGGTTTTCTAATTGCTGGTTAGAAAAATTTAAGGTAAGAAAATATCATTTACATGATAAATGGGAAGTATACAAATGGTTACCTTTTAAAAGAGATGTTTAATTGGTAATTTGAGATATACAAAAGCTCAAGTTAATTCTAGTACATTAATGATTTAAAATTTATAAAATTGCCCATTATTAAAATATTAATTATTAATAAATGAATATTTATTTTTAGGATATATACTAATTTATAAAACAACTTTCATTTATAAAATTGAAAAAAATATTTCTATCTGATATTTTAAATAGCAACTAAATAACTAATCAATTTCATTTATAAATCTATAAATATCAGTAGATAAATTAACATATTTTAGAACTTTAATATTATATAACTTAAATTCATTTACTTCATCTTTCAAATTAGACAAATCTATCTCTCTAAAATCAAAAGCGGATGAAGTATTCTTAATAGCCAAATATTTGACTCTTTTCTTCTTCATTATATATTCTTTTATATGAGGTAAAATATCAATAAAATCAATACGATCATGATCTCGTATTAAATGATTAATTAACAATTTCTTAAAGAAAGTATCTTGAGAGTTTTTTAAGAATACTTCAAAATCATTTGCTTTAATCATGTAAAGGGCCAAACTTAAATATTCAAGTTTAGAAGGGAGTACTTGTCCTAAATTTCGTAATATTGAATATTCTTGATAATTCACTACATTGATTGAAAGATGATTAAGATTTTGTTTAATATTTTCAATTAAACCAAATACTAGAGAAGTAATTTCATATAAGTCAAGAAATTTGATATTTCTGCAATATTTCATAATTAATTCTAAGAGCTGTTGTTGAATTCCGTAACTCCCGCATTTGAAATTTTCTAAATAGTTACCATATTTTTGTAATAATAATTTCAATGGATCGATTTGCATACCCCAGCTTATAAATAAAGATTTTAGTTTAAATGGTTTGGTTAAGTTAATAATTTGTTGAATAAACCTATCTAAAGAAGAACAATGAATGATATGAACAGATTCCAAAACATATAAATTTTCAAATACTTTAACTAAATTATTTATACCATTAAAATTGACATAATAAAAAATGATTGTATTTAAAGTATTTGAACAATTAAATTCTTTTGATAATAATAATGATTGATATAAAGATAAATTATTATAACTAAATAAAATTCTTTGAAGATTTTGATGTAAATTAATTATTTGTGATATACGATTTTTAATTAACGTATTTTCACAATTATTTACAATAGAAAGGCTTAAATTTCTACTATTATGAATGAAATTTGGATTTTGTAAAATTATCCTAAAAACGCCATCAAAAATGATATCATCATCATAATGTTTGTTGTTTAACTCAATTTTAAAAGTATGTAAATTTACTTCATTTTCAATAAATAATTTAATTAGTGACATATTAATTAATCTTTTAAATTCAGATACTGATTTCAAAGTTACATTATGTACCAAATAAGTTTTATCATTAGCTTCTAACCACCTCTCAATAGAAGGAGTAACTTTATATATGTTCAAATATCTTATAAAACTAGGATAATTGAAAAGTGTTTTCGAAGGTAATAAATAATTAATAATTTGATAATCATTTATTTTTGTTTTTAAATAATCATTCAAATTATATAAGTAAACTTCAATAAAATTATAACTTCCGGTAGTAATTGAAAATGGATTTTCCCATAATAATGGAATCGCTAAACGACACCATAATCTATTAACTAAAACACATGAATGTAAGGTTGAAAAATCATTCTGAAAATTTTTGATGATTTCATATATTAATTCAGGTAAATTTCCTGAAAATATTTTTGAACATGACATATTGTAAACGAAAAGAAGGAAAAAAAATAGGGGCGTGGTGACCGTGGCGTATCATTTTATTGTAAGGCCAAATTGAGTATAATTTTCGGAGTGGTGATTCCGATACTGTCCACAATTAATGTTGATTAACTATGTGTAACAGGGTTTAATAATGAAGCGCAGTTTTATTTAAAATTACTGTATTTGGTAATTGATTAACAATAAACAAATTAATATCTTCAATATTTGAATTAATTTAGTAAATTCGTATACTTTATCATTGAGAATTTTTTTAACAACGACTTTAACGACTTTTTGTTCTTTCTTTAGTCATTTGATTTTTTTGATCAAAGTTATTGAAATTGATGTATCATGCAATTTAATATACAAATATCTAACCAGCATTTTTACATTTATTTAAATTTAAATAAAATACAATATGAAAGTTTTAGATAAAATATGTAGTAAAGAATTTTATATATATTTTAATTAGTATATAAAATATTTGCATAATGTTTATTTATATAGTATAAATAAATTATACTAAATTTATATTTAATAAATGACATAATTTTTTATAAAATATCCATATAGTATGTATTAAACCGTAAATTATATATAAATTTATATTAAACCTAATTCTGGTGTGTTTGAATTTAGTATAAAGTGTTAGAGTTTAAATTTAGTAATTAAAGGTGTCAAAGCACAATTTAATAAATAAATTATTAAAATTCAAATATAATGATAAAATGTCAAAGTCTAAATAAGTAAATTGATTAAACAGACTTCTTTCTACATGTAAATAGCGTTAAAATAAATGTTATTTAAACAAAGTATTTATAAAAAAAAACGGGTAAGGAAAAAAGTTCAAAATGTTTTTCTAAAAATAGCATATTTTTTATGGCATTAATTTTATTAAATAATTATATTACAATATTTACTTCATCTTTGATTAATAAAATAATTAGAATAAATTAAACAAGCAATTTAACAATGCAATATTAAGTTAAAGTGAGACAAATTTCTTGCATTTTTTTTTCTTTAATTATTCAGAAAAAGAATATTATTATAAATTGAATCATTAGAGAATTAAATTTATAAAATTCAGTATTATAATAATTTCAATCAAACAACATTATACTTTTAATTTAAGTTAAGCAAACATTTCAAAAAAGGTAAGACGAATAGTAGCATAGTATGGGTTGTCTATTGAGTATTGTATGACGTAATAACTGATGTTGAGTATATTTACTATACTCCGTTGTATGTAACATTTAATTGTTTTGGTTTTCTTGATAGAATTTGCGCGTCTACATTTCACAGTTGATTTTGTAATGTTCGATTTTTTAACCTGTGCATTAACTAATATATAAAAAAAAATTTAATAAAATAAATCATAATTAAATAAACTCATGATTTTTAATTACCTTTACACTTTTACACTTGTTAGACTGAACATTGCGAGTTGTGGGTCTTTTGTCTCGCCCTCTATCAGGTATATTGTATGTTTTATGAATTTTAATGGCGCTAAATCTTCTTTATCTAATCTTTACCCTCTACAACCAATAAATAGAAATTTTATTTATATTCGTATTACTCATTGATTATTGTAGTACATATATACGCAATACTAATATACGCAGTAGTAGGTTTACAAAATATACAACTCTGTATATCATTTCACATGACTATACGATAATCATTTGGTCCACCATACTATACTACTATTCGTATTATTCTTCCAATAAAAAACCTTACAATACTGTATATCAATCCTTACTAGTAAAAGTTGAATCTAACAGGAGAGAATGAAATCTAAATATATAATATATAATAAAATAGGTTAGAAGACTCGAGTACTCTAAGTAAGCTTTGCAGAAAAGACAGATTCAAGCCCCCATACCTACTATCAACTGACATTAACGAATATCGTGAGTGATCAAACTCGTGCAGAGGTACTGTCACATTGATAATAAGACATGAGACCCACCACCAAAAGGACGGGCCCCACATACAGAAGTCTGCGACATAGCTTGAGATATTTTTATTCTCATTGAAGGTAACCAGACTTCTAGAAGAGGAGGATAACCAAAGCACTCTAGGTGCACTTGTCCCTTATACATCCCAGCTTAGCCATTTCCACTTACCAGAATAATAAAAATATCATTATTTACTATTACTATTCAGGCTTGACGTTTTTTTCGGTTGTCCGTAACTATCCACAACTCACAGCACTTTTAACTAGAAGTTGCTTAGGATACGTTTTTTTAATAATTTTTATAATTAATAGGCAAAAATAGCTTGACTAGAAGTAACTGAAAGTATAAGATATTTATGTTTCTAAATGGAGAGTTAATAAAAAAAAGCTACAAGTTATTAATAAATGTTAGAGATTAAGACAAAAACCTACAAGTATTTAAAAAAAATACGTGCGAAAGAAATTTTATGTAGGAAAAATGATTTTTTTAATACCTTTATAGAAAATATTTCATGGGAAAATTTGTTGAGTTATTGTTATGGTCGTGACGCGCACAAAGTATTAATACACAAGCCTATCTATTGATCATAATCGCAATTTGAAATTCCGACATCATTTGATCATTTGATTATCGTTGTATATACAATAGATATCTATTTTATATTATGCCTTTGTACCGTTATTACTAACTTGTATAGTATTAGATATACAAAATATTTTGTGTACCGTATTATTATATTACTTAAATATATCTAGGGAAGGTCTTTTGGCAATAATTTCCTTCGGAAGAGTCACATTTTCAAGTTATATCAATAATAGATTAATAGAAAGGATTTTCTTTATGTTTTTAGAAACTTCTCATATAGTTTATAAGTTTATTTTTTTTTAAAAAAAAATCAATGTTACGATTTGATCATCTATCATCCAGATTCTCTATATTTATTCAAATCAGATAATCGATATTCGGATCTTAATAATAAATTAAATCATTTGCATTACGAAATCACCTAAAAATATTTTTCTTTTTTTTATGAAATAGCAAAAATTATATGCGCAATAATCTGAAAATCTTATATTTTATTATATTAAGTTTAAATCTTGTAAATTATTTTTTTATACAACTCCACTGTCTCTTCACGCCTCATTATTTTTTTTTTTAAAACAGAAAAAATATTTATTCAGCCATCATATGACAAAATTGTTGGCATGAATTGTAAAATGGGATTTACATAATACATCTGTCATTCTATCATGCATAAATATAATTTATTCAATTAGCTCTGTGAATAAAAATAACTTTTGTTAAAATTATTGTTATTAATAGTTGACTAAACAATCTGTTTCAAGATTTTTTAGTATGGAATTGTTTAAAAAAAAATATTTAGGTCAAGAGACACTAGTACAGATGTGTTAAATTTCTTGATTTTTCTTTAGATAATTTATTTATGTAAAAAATACCAATTTTAATAAATATCAGGTAAATGCAATTTCACTTTATAATTTATTACAAATAATATTTAATAAATAAAGAATATATTTTTGTTCTTTTATTCAAAGGTACATGTTAAAATTTCTTCTGTTGATTCAACTACCCTATCAGAAGAAATTGATGATAAAGTAATTTACTTACTATATGGAAGACTTGGAAAAAATAAAAAAAGTATATGGCATAAGTGAAGAATGTAATGAACCTGGCACAAGAAGTTATTGGTATCAACCTTGTAATGAGAAAAGATTTAAAGTAAATATTAAAATTGGACTAGTGGAAATAAAGATATTGATGAATTAATACTACAATAACTTAATGCTCTATATCGTACAAAATGTCTTGAATAGATACCTTTTGAGAAATTTCAAAATGTTCAGTTACTTATATTACCAGAGGAGGCTTCGGTAAAATTAATTTAGCTGAATGGTCTGAAGGATTTATTAGTTATTGGAATAATGAAAATCAAAAATGGTACAGATTTACAGGACAAAATTTGCATTCAAAAGTTTGGATAATTCTTTAGATATTAGTATAGTTTTTTTAAATGAGGTAATAAAATAAAAAATTTAATTTATTTTGCCATATATTTGGATCAGTCCCAGCAAAGACCGGTCTTGTATCAGTCTTGAGACCAGTTTTCACGGTCTTTGGTCCAAGATTTGAGGACCAGTCCAGACTGGAACTGATTATATAAAATTCTTTATATTTTAAAGCGTAAATAAGAAATCAAATGATATTAATATCACAAAATACCAAAATGTGAAATTTTGATATTTCAAAATGAAAACTTTATTAATAATATATAATTTATCATTTAGATAAAGTACGAGAAATAAAAAATTTTTTTATACTCAATTATTTCGTGATCAGCATCAATTGATACATTTTTTTTTTCGTATTTTAAACTTTGAGATTTATATACTTAGTTTACAATGAAAACAGAGGTAATAAATAATAAATTAATGTTATAATTTTTAGTGCGACCTGCATCTCATAATCTTGTTGATCCAACCCAAGAATACCGGTGTTATAAATAAGATAATTTAGGACCGGACTGGACTGGACCAGACTAATCCAACCCCAAGAAGTAGTAAGCTATGTACCTTCCCTATTAATGTGAAGAGACTCCACTTTGTCATATCAATGGAAATATCAACACTTAATGAATACTATCATTAACTCATCTTTCCATTAACAGATTTTGAATGATGAATCAACTGAAAATAAGGAAGATCTGGAGGTTCATTCCGTCACCACCACTAATAAAATAGTACAAAAAAGGCAAGCTTTTAAAAAAAAATTCTATTGCTTAGATTTTCACTTTTAAGGATATATAAAATTACTTTGTTTTTTTATGAATTTATTTGATATATACTCAGAGCAAATAATTGAAGAGAAGGAAAGATTGTGAGAATGAAGAAGAATGTAGTGTGTTGTTTGACGAAGAAACAAAACTGTCCAGATAAAAAGCATTGATGAAAGCTGGCTAAATAATAAAACAAAGCTACCTATCTCAAAACCATCTGATATATCCGATATATCCGAATATAAACTGTTAAATGATAGTGATTTATTGAACATTTTTAAACGGTATCAAATGAATATCCTAAAATGCCATCGAGTTACTATGTAAGTTTTCATTATGATTTAATACATTAGGTCTTTGTGCATATATCATGTTTATTAACTATAGACCAGCATACTGGGATATATTAGACTTTAGACCTAACTCGGGAAAGTCTGAGTGGATGTAAAGAATTTTCGGAGAGTGATATTCAGGAATATTTTAGTAAGAACTGTGAAGATTATCAAATAAAGGAAATAAAACAACTATACATAAATATTCAATTCATGCAAGTACAGTATTTGGTTGCTATAAGTGTTCATGTAATATTCTCTAAAATTGTTTAACGAAGCATTTTACTTTCTTCTATTACAAAGAAAAGAAAATATGTACTCATTTAATAACTCCATGACCAAGGAAGAATTAAAGATAATTTCGACACTTCCACTTTATTTTCTGCTCTATCCTTCAATTAAATGTAATCAATGATTCATGGTAAGTTATGGTGTATTTATCTTATAGCAGGATAATAAAAAATTTAAAAATGTGGCAAAATACAGGTATATGGAATGAAAAAATGAAAGAAATAAAAGCTCAGACCCTTTCCAAAGAACATGTTTAGGACAAAAAGTCAATATGAAGGTCTCCATGAGATATATCTATTATATATAGATTCATGTGTCAATACAATATTTTTGAAGTGATATTGAAATTATTACAAATTATCATCACTTTTTATTTAAAGTACTAAAAAATGAATAATTTAATACATTAATAAAGCTGATATTTAAATAGCAATTAAAGGAGTTAAACTTATTAAAACTAACTACATGACAAGATTATGATATAGATAATTACTTTAAAACATCATAATTTTCATGGTGCACGCAGTCAGCCACAAAATTATCATTATTCAAAAATAACTATTGTTAAATTCAACAAGTCTAATTACCTCCATTCTCTTCATTTTGTGTACTTGCAAAAATTAGAAATTTTAATTCATGAAAATCAAATCTGAACACCCTAAAACTCTTTAATAGGAAATTTTCTATTTGCTAATTAATTATCATACTATAAAATTCATTTAAATCTTCGATTTCTACAATGTTACTTAGTTCACTTTCAATTTTTTTCAATTTATTTTTAGAAAATTGGTTTCCTTGTGCAGCAGATTTTTTGTACCAATGAATTGCTTGATCTATATCTTTCTTAATATCTTCTCCTATTTCATACATTGTGGCAAGTTCGCATTGAGCTGAATCACTTCCTAAATTTGCTGCTTTTTGGTATAATTCGAATGCCTTCTGTTTATTAACTTCAGTTCCAATTCCTTTATTATAACACCAACCTAAGCTAATAATTCCATTTATATTTCCTAAACCTGCTGCCTTCTGATATAATTCAAATGCTTTTTCTTCGTTAATATCAGTTCCAATTCCTTCATAATAACACCAACTCAAATTATTCATTCCTTTAAAATTTCCTAATTCTGCCGCCTTTTGATAGAATTCAAATGCTTTTTCTCCATTAAAATTAGTTCCAGTTCCAGTATCATAACAAAACCCTAAATTATTCATTCCACTTGCATATTCTTCTTCTGCTAATTTTTTAGATAATTCAAAAGCTAAATTAAAATTTTTGTTAAGACAAGGCCCATAAAGATATTCATTAACAAGATTTAATTGAGCTAATCTATTTTCCAATTCTGCAGCATTTTGATATAATTCAATTGCTTTTTGTTCATTAAGCTCAGTCCCAATTCCATGATAATTAAAATATCCAAGTAGACAAATGGAATTTGAATGGTTTTGGCTATTTAAAAGCCAGATATAAATTTGTTGTAAGGTTATCATTTGATTATTAATATGAGAAAGAACTTGTTGCTTTACTACATTTGCATCTTCACCTTTATTTAGTTCATTAAAAATGAGATTAACTAATTCATCAATCACAATATTATAATCTCCATCAAAAACATATTTGTTAATATTTTTGATTGTAGGCTCAATTTCTTTTATATTTATTTTATTAAAATTTTGAATAACGAGAGAAAATTTTTGCAAAAAACTATTAGTGTTTGAAAAATTAATTTTTTTGAAATTAATTTGTTTATTAGACATTGTGAAAAGTTGAAGAAAGAGTTGAATTTATTTTTTTTTTTCACTTAATTTGTATTTGTAATACCTGTTGATCAAACTCTGTGCTTCCGCAGCAAATTTTTAAAGTTAGTGCAATTTGTCGATCAGTTGTGGCAAAACGGAGAAGTCTAATAATAAAAATTCCAATTGACTATTATGGTTAGATGCTTACTATATATGATTAGCAACGGTTGTCATAACTGGTCCGAGAACTTTTGACTGACTGACTGTTTAACTGGTCGTTTGAATGACCTGCTAGCCTTTTATTTAACAAAATTTGATTTTAGCATTTATAAACTATTGTATTTTACACATTTATTAAATTGTAATGCACTTAAAAAAATCAGTTGAAATGGTTGGACAAATGGATGGTTAGGAAGTATGTCAATCTGGTCGGTCAGAAGGTATCTTTGACTGGCCAATATCGGTCGCAGTAATGACCAATCTATAAATCTACTAATTACAAATCAATTATCAATTAAGCCGTTCATAACTTAGTCAAAAAGGTATTAGTATTATTTATTTCATGGGGAGTTGGAAATAATAGGGTTTTTTTCCCGAAAGGAAAAACCCCTAATGTTCCCTTCCCATGAAATAAATTGGAGCATGTCAATCATTAAATATTATTTTAAATTAAAATTAGTAATTTCCCGGCTATATATATGAGGCCGGGGAATAAGTAAACGAAGATTCCCGGTCATTTATAAACTCAGCTAATCACTCGCAATTTTAAAAAATTAGTATGAGTGATACTTAGTGCGACAGGGGATTATAAATTTATGAGATTATATTATATTACTGTCTTAAATATTTAATGGAGTCTTTAATTAAATCTTTTTAAAATATATATCTTTAATACAATATTTTTAATATTTTTGAACTTATTTAATTATGTACTATAAAGTACTGTAACTTTTGGAATCTGTCTATCTCACTGAACAAATTAACACATTATTTAAGTTTTATAGCTATCAATAAAATTAAACTTATTAAACAAGCTTTATGACAAAACTGTAACAGAAATAATTACTTTACAGCAAGGACCACTACAAAAACATCATAATTTCCATAGTACAATCACAAAAATTATCAAATATTCGCAAATAACTATTTCTAAAATCCAGTAAGTTTATAAATGCACATTTTCTTTTCATTTTGTATATTTGCAAAAATTGGAAATTTTAATTTATGAAATTCAAATCGATAACCCTAATACTCTTTAATAGGAAATTTTTATTTAATGATTTGTTATACTGATTATGTTACAAAGATTATAAATTAGAATTTTGGTGCCCTTGCGCAGCAGATTTTTTATACCAATATACTGCTTGATCTATACCTTTTTTGATTCTATCTCCAATTTCATACATTAAAGCAATACCATATTGAGCTACAACATTCTATAAATTTGCTGCTTCTCGGTATAATTCAAATGTCTTCTACTTATTAACATGCTTCAGTTCCAATTCCTTCACAATAATACCAACCTAAGTTGCATGTTCCATTTAAATTTCCTAAATTAGCTGCCTTTTGATATAATTCAAATGTTTTTTCTTCATTAATATCAGTTCCAATTCCTTCATAATTACACCAACCTAAATTATTTATTGCATCAAAATTTCCTAAATTAGCTGCCTTTTGATATAATTCAAATGCTTTTTCTTCATCATAATTTGTCCCAATTCCCTTTTCATAACAAAACCCTAAGTTATTCATTCCATATGCATAATTTCCTGCTAATTTTTTAGATAATTTAAAAGCTAAATTATAATTTTTTTTGCCATAAATGTATTCATTAGCAAGATTTGATTGAGCTAATCTATTTTCTGATTCTGCAGCTTTTTGATATAATTCAATTGCTATTTGTTTATCAAGTTCAATTTCAAGTCCATGATAATTAAAATATCCAAGTAGACATAGAGAATTTGAATTGTTTTGATTATTTAAAAGCCAAATATAAATTTCTTGTAAGGTTGTCATTTGATTATTAATATAATCAAGAACTAATTTCTTTATTGTATTTGTATCTTCTCCTTTATTTAGTTTATTAAAAATAAGGTTAGACAATTCATCAATTACAATATTAAAATCCCCTTCAAAAATATAATTGTTAATATTTTTGATTGTAGGTTTAATTTCTTGTATATTTATTTTATTAAAATTTTGAATAACTTTGCAAAATTCATTTGATAAATTATTATCAGTATCTAGTATGCTAAGTTGTTTATCAAACATTTTAATATATTTTATTTATCATCAGAGAAATGAAATTAAATAATTATTTGTGTAATGTTACGGTATTTATTAATTTAATATTAATAATTATTCATAATTGGTAGTTTGGTACTCTTATTTATGCGTATATTTCATATGTATTTATCATTTTATATTTAATTATTTTTTCAATCATAAATATAATTTTTTTAAATGTAAATAAAATTAATTTTAATAAATATTCTATCATGATATAATCCTTCTGATTTATTGTTAAGCTAATGTATTTGTAGCTGAAAATATATGATGTAAAACTTTGAATGAAACAATAATTATTAACAGATGGATATGGCCAATTATTTAAATGTAATATGATTGTCTTCAAGGTCATCAAAACACCATGTAAATTAGAAGTTCCTGATGTATAATTCCCTTATCCTGTGAAATTCCACTTACCGATCCAAAATTTTTAAAAAAGTTTATAAGTATTGACAAAATAAGTGGAAAGAATTTAAATATTAAAAATGTAGTAAGTATTACACAAGAAAACAGTTATCAAACATATTTTATGAAAACTAATTACTTTATAATAAATAAATAACTTCAAAAAATAGGAATATACAATGTCAATATTCATATGGAAAAAATAGAGTTTTTATAAAAAACTATAGAAGAACCAAGTTTTTTCTACAATGAAAGTTGAAACCTAATCAGAATGTTAAAAAAGTCAAACTTTTAATCAAGTGTTGTGGGAAAATAACCTTCAAATTTTTTTTGTAATGAAGTCCTTTCAGTTGAAAACTTATGAACTGACTATTTAATATGAATAGGAAAGTAACTAATAAATAGTTTTACGGGAAAATGATGCAGTGGAAAAATAAATTAACATTAATGGCGGAAAATACAACAATATAAATCACAACTCGAAGACAAAAAAAGTCATGTGCGTGATATTATATTTTATGTAGGTATAGTTAAACGAATTATTATAATGATTAACAAATGGTATAAATATCAATCAAAGTAGTGTTTTGATATTTAAGATATATATAAGTAATTCAAAATCTGATAAAAAATAATCATATGTTTACAAATTTTTCATTACCAATATTTATCTTTACTCAAAATGGTAAAAACATACATAATTTCAGTAATTTATATACAGGATGGATGAATCATGAATCTAAGTTGAAAAATTCACTTGCAAATTATAGAATAGAACTAAACGATATAATTTACTAAAAATGTGAGTTAGGATATATTCATAATAATATAAAAGTCGGCGCAGCAAATTTTAGCACGCGATTGGATGATGTGGTACAAAATTTTTGGCAAAAAGCTTGGACCGCAGAAAGTCACGTGAAATTCTTGGAAGATTTGATTGGATAAGGAATGGTAGTTTGATTGGTAGTTTGGGAACAATTTATTATCAAGAATTCAAGATTCACGTAAAAATGATTTCGAGAAAAAAGTATAAGGTTTCAGTTTGGGATTGGGTGGATTATGTTTTATGTTTTGGAAAAGGTTTTCTGTGATCACATGATTAAAAGTTTAGATCTGGTATCTCGTTAGTCTCGTTGTGAAACTGTAATAACCTTTTTTTTTTTGAGCGTTGAGTGGGAGGTTATCGAGGAATGAAATTCGTTAGTTAGAGTATCTATCTTGTAAGTAGGTTGGGTTTTTTTTACGCAAAAACATAAAGGACACGCAAATTTTACATAACTGCGGAGCATGTGATATGAAATGTAACCAGTTAGTTGTGGGTTATAAAGTGTCGCTTGATGTAGGGACAGGTAGTGTCGACGAGTTTTATGCATTTAGTTTGATATATTTTTTAGTTTGTATTTAGATAGATACTTCATTGAGATGATGTATTTTTTACGCCCTATATTAATATTACGTTGCGTAATAAAGTTTGAAGAAATAATAATATTATTATTATTAACATAAAAAAATATATATCTTTTAAAAGAAATTATAAATATTCTGATGTTATCATCTTGCATGCATAACCACAGTATTTCTGAAATTGGCTGCGGACGAAAGTCCTTAAAAAGTAAATCAATCGGCCTCCGTCAAATAATCACATGTTCATAGTCCCAAATAGAGTTTGGTCATGTCCCGGACCGTCCTGTACCCAGTCCATGTCCCTGCCCCTGCCCCCGTCCAGTCTCCTTGTCTCATGATAACTACAACAATAGCAAGAAACAATAACTGCGTAAAAATACCCCAAAATTTGACCATAGGCACAGTAAATTCTACGGCTAATAAATAACCTAGCTGCAAGATGCGCCTGCAGTCAAATTAGTTATATTCAAAAATCTATCCGAATATCAGAATCGTATTTTTCATTTGAATCTAAATATTATTTGGTTATTCAATTATAATTGAAGAATATCAGAATCGTATTTCTCATTTGAATCTAAATGAACATTATTTGGTTATTCGGTTATAATTGGTTTAATTAAAAGACAAATAATTTAAGGAAAATATTTAATTAATCTCAATCCGATTATTTGCTAATGTATTATCATATCATGTGGAACGTATCTCCTTAATATTTTTAGACAAAGATTATCCAATGTTAATTTTTTATTTTAGCTGATTCATAAATTTTCATCAGTTGTTATTGCTGTGTCATTCCTTTTTTACATTATTGGAATACTTCTATAAATTATTTTATTATATAGACTTTATCTTCCCAAGATAGAATAATGGTAATTTGTATTGCACTAGTTTGTATGACCTGGATGTGAATAATATCAAAGATTTTTACATTATGATCTAATAAGTTAGAATTAGTAATTCAGGGCTGAGAGTAATCAGGCGCAGTGGTGCCTGAATTTATGCGAAAAAAATAATTCATAAATCCATAACCGGTTTTCATTGAATTGCTCGTATTACAACGAGAAAATAATTTAGCTAAATAATACCTTTTTTATGGTATATATAAAAAATAAAATAAAAAATAAAATAAAATAAAAATAAATTAACCTCTTAAGACGTTATTAAACTATTTCGTGATCGTCAGCTGATAGAGCTGATAAACTTTTTTTATAAATAACGCGTAAATTGATCCGACTTGAAATGATCGTCCCTTGTCTCTCTCTTTATTCAATAATAGTGATGGCTTCAATTTATGTAAAAGACCAAACTGTAGCGAAATATTTATCTTCTTTCCGAAATAATGATATTAATGGCATTCGAGCTTCTTTGAAAGAAGAATCAATTTATCGTCAAATGTTTGCTTTAAAACCTGAAAATATTAACTCCTCCCAATCAAAAGTATTACGTCAACCATATTTGAATTTGATTAACGTATATGAAGATATAGATATCTGGAAAATTAAGAATAGATTTTTCAATAATGAAGCTGGAAATGATGACGATGATGGAATGTACATTATGCCTTTACCGGAAGAGAAAAGACTAAAACATGGTGATCCTGCTATTTGTCTCGGTGGAAATGAAAAATTCTATAAGAATTGGAGATTATTCACTGAATGTATAAGAAATTTATTTATTTATTTATTTATTTTTTTAATAAAAAGAAAATATTAAATTTCTGATTTTTATTAAAAAAAAATTTAGCGAGCCTCCTTGAACTAGATTGGTCAAATGTATTTGCAGCAGGTAGGTCGGTTATTCAAATCACTTAAAAAAAAAAATTAGAATTGAGAATTTTTTTATCCCAAAATATGAACAGGTGGCGCAGTGTTGTCGTGTCTCCTTCCAATTCCCAAAGAATACGATGATAACCTACGTAACATCCGTAATTGGTATCATAATATTGCCTATCAAAATTCTGATATCGATCTTTTCATTTATGGATTGGACGAGGAAGCAGCTAAGAAAAAAATGGAAGAGATTTACGAAAATATTTGTAATGCTATTCCTTGGGAAGTTACGTGTTTTCGAAGTAAACACTGTGTGACTATTATTAGTCAATATCCTTATCGGCATATTCAAGTATGTTTATCGATGAATATTTAATTTAAAGATTAAAATTTTTTATATTTAATAATAATATTATTAAATTAAATTTATTAGATTATACTTCGATTATATAATTCTCCTTCAGAAGTTCTTACCGGCTTCGATGTTGATTGCTGTAGTGTTGGGTAATAAATTATTCGACATTTTCTTAATTAAATATAGATTCTATTTTTTCTATTTTTTAATGATCCCGAACTTTGTTATTTAGGTTTGATGGTAAAAATGTTTGGGCTTTACCAAGAGCTCATCAAGCAATCATCAAACAATGTAATGTGATTGATTTAACCAGAAGATCTCCGTCATATGAAATGAGGTTGGCAAAATATACTGAAAGAGGTTTTGAGGTTTGTAATACAAGTGATTTTTTACGTCTTCAGTTAAAATAGGTTTATATATTTATTTATTTTATACCATAAATAGATCAAAGTTCATTCGCTAGAACGTTCCAGAATTGACCCTACCATATATGAGAAAAGTTTCGAAAAACTTAATGGTCTCGCTCGTTTACTCGTACTAGAACGTCTAAACACTCCCGAAAATAGATACGCATATGTAGAGAAAAAGCGTGAACGCAATTGTCGTCCAAGTCATCCAAAATCCGGTGTATATGAATCTAGGAAATGGAAAAGAAGAGCCAACATCAATAAAACTAAATTTGAAAATAATGATTATGAAACGTTGATTTTACCATATGGAATTAGTTATAATGTAGATAGGATTACGAGATTAATTTATTCAAAGGTATATGCAATATACAGTAATGCACCAAATCTTTTTTTTTTTTTAAAAAAAAAAAAATCCTTTGAATTCAATTTTTTTTTTAATTTTAGGATATGGCGTTGAACTCAATGTGGAACAAAGATAACAAAGATAGAGTTTTGCACAGACATATATGTTTTTTCGGTACCATGAAAGAAATTTTTGATGATTGTTGCGGTCACTGCCCAGAACCTAGTACTCAAGATGAATTTGCTGCTCAAATTGAAGAAGATAAAACGTTTATAAGAGGTAAAATGGAATTTATAAAGGATGATCCAGGAAGGCAAACAATTGGAAGTTTTCACCCATTAACTGATGATGATTGGACATCGCAAGCTTATATTACTAATGTTAGAGTAGATTTGTGTAGTGCTTGTGCTAGAGGTGATGTGGATATTGTTGAAAGTATCTTAAAATCAAATTTAAATATTGATGAGGACTTTCAACTTGAAAGGGTGAATATTGAGGCGAGAGATTATCTTGGAAGAACCCCATTACAATTAGCTGTTTTAGGAGGACATACTGAATTAGTTAAAATATTATTAAAGTATGATGCAAGAATTATCGCAAGGATGTCAGATGGTAAAACTGTTGTTCATTTGGCTTCGCAATATGGGTTTTTAGATATTTTGGAATTATTACTACAAAAGAGCAATGAAAATAAGGAAAAAGCCCAAGAACAAAAAGATGTAATGTCATTATCAGAAATGAATAATCGAACAAATATTGAGTTTGATAATTCATTCGAAATAATTGATAAATCTGAAATTGAACGAGAGCTTGAAGATCTAATTTTTGATCCAATAGATAAGGAGAATGATCAAGATGACATAATTGATATAAATACTGAAACTTGGGATCATTTATTAACCGCTTTAGATTATGCTATCATATTTGGGCATGTAGAAATAGTAAAACTTTTAGTTGAAGCTGGGGCGGATGTTCAAAGACAAATAAAGCTTCAAGTACAAAATATTTATAATCGTTCATTCTATCATAATAGAATCTCGACAGGTGTAATTTACTATCCATTAGGATTATGCTTATTAACTCAAGATCAGAAGTCTGGATTGGAGATCGCTTCAATTTTGTTAAAAAATGGTGCTAGTACTTCCCAGGTATTACTTATTTTTTTTTTTACAGTTTTTTTTTTATTATTCTTTTGTTCCAATTTTATTATTTACTTATTTAGGTTAATCATGAGTTTAACACCATTTTACACTTGGCTGCTAAAGAAGGAAAAACACAATTTATTAAATTGTTATTGGATGAGGATCCAAACTCATTGCAAATTATTAATTCATTGAATTCAATGGTCGAATCTCCACTCAGCATATCCGTTTTAAAAAATCATTTAGAAAGTACTGAATTATTATTGAAATATGGTGCAAGGGTAAGCAGTTATTTATTTATTATTTTTTTTTTACACATTTGTTAAAAATTTAATTTATTTAATTTTCTTTTTTAGCCATATATTTCATTAGAGGACGTTCAAATTTCTAAAAAACATCAAAACCACAACGAATTACTAATACTCGGCAGGGTGGCACAACCTATAACTCACGCTTTAAATAATAGTCAGTATCGCATCTTAATTGAAGCTGGAGCAGACATCAATACTATTTATAATTGTAATTGTCCAAGAACAATTATTGAAAATGCAATAGCGTTAAATGAATGGAATATTAAAAGTTATAAAGAAAAGTTGAATGCTGAAAAGGAAAAGGAACCAGTTTCAAATGAAGATGAAGTGACCATATTTATAAATTCTTTGAGTGATTTACTTGAGAAAGAAAAAAAAATCGATGAAGGAACTTATAGAGGATATGTACTTAACCGACACACCGCGAAAAATTTTTATGAATTCTTAAACGCGAAGAATCCACAATTATATCCTTGGAATTCAATTTTAGCACCTAATTATAGTGTAGTACACGAGGATTACTCAAAATTACTTGAAACAGAAATCGAAAAATTAAATTATAACAAGAAATGTTTAGATTATCTTATTAGCCGTGGTGCTAAAACTTACAAAGAAATTGAGATGGAAAGTAAATTACAAGAGCCAAAGAAATCGATGAAAGAATTACAAGAACGGTTAAATTCTGTTAGAATATTATTAGAAGAACAAGCTGGAACACTGGAAGCTGAGAAAAAAGAACGTTATTTAAAAGAAGAAATTCTTTTACAACATGCTATGAATAAACAACAAGAAGAAATTGATAGAATTTGTAATGGTTATAATGAACAAAGTTCGTATAATTCATTTGGGCAAATTCAAAATCCTAATTTAGGACTATTATTAAAAACTGTATCCTCTAAGCCATTGATAGATTTTGATGAATTTATAATGAAATTTACTTATCCCAAAAATTATAGTGATAAAATACCTGCAGAACTAATTCCAGAGTATGTGAAATTATTTCAAGCCGTTTATGATAATGACATTAGCAAAGTCGAGGAAATGTCACAAAAATTAGTTTTCGCTGTTTGTGATAAATTTAATATGACACCATTTATGTGGGCCTGTTTTCGTGGGCATAATGAATTAGCGATTAAAATTTTGGATATTGTTACTAGTCAATATGAACCTAAGAAGAATATTGAATTAATTAATGAGGGCAATAATACTAATGTCATTAATAATTATGATATTATCGGTATGTAATAATAACCGGGAGTTTTTTTTTTTCTTAAAAAACAAAAGTTAACTTAAATTGAAATACAGATGATGACGATCACGACGAAAGTGAAAATAATTATTCTGATGGTTTTGGCTATGAACACCAAGGACCTTTACAATCAACCTCCGAAGATAATGATTCAAAATCCCCCAATTTTAAGCCCGTATCTAATTGTCTAGCACATGTATTTCTTATGTATCAAGGCAATTTCGCAAGCAAAAACGTTTTACCCAAAGAATTCTTAAAAGAAAGCGAAATAGTAGATAATATTTGTTTAAACGGATTGGAAGTGGCTGTTTTGAAAAATAATTTAGAAATGGTAAAGAAGATTTTAGATTGGGCCGAAAAATATCAACATGCTAATGGTAAGATTATAGGATTTTTAGCAATAACATTTTAAACCTACAATTAATTTTGATTGTATCTATTTAGGTGACTATTTTAAAAATAATGGAGGTTTAGTTACATCTCTAATTCAAGGAAATAATACAAGAAATCCGATGACAGATTCTATTTATTTGGGATACGTGGATATGATGGATATACTTATTGAGTAAGTCTGATTATATTATCATGATTAAAATTGTTTATGATAACGAATAAATTAAAAAAAAAATTTATCCACATTTTTCCTTTTTAAAAGATATGCTGCGGGTGGAAATGATTTTTTTGTCTTTGACATTAAAGATCCTGAAGAAACTCCTGTGCCTGAGAAATCAAAGTAAATAATTTTTGTATATTAATCTTATACTGTATTATGAAGAGAAACTTATGATAATTTTTTTCTTTTTATTTTACTTTTTTTTGAAAAAAACCAGTTATTATCAAGGTTTGAATATAAAAGGTCGCAAGAAAAAATCTTGGATAATTCGTTACAATCCTAACTATTCTAATAAATCCGTAAAGCCTCCTTACTTATTTTATGCTGCGTATTATGGAAATATAGCAAGTATACGATACTTTTTCTCTGAGAGGCCAATAAAAGCGTTAGAAAAATTCGCTCAAAAATATGCCGACAATAAATCGAAAGATTTAAGAGTAACGATTTTGGATACAATTAAAAATATTCAAAAAGTTGGAAGAAAATTATTTAATTATGAGTTATTTAGAAACGAGACACCATTTCATTGGGCTGTACAAAATAATGAGCATGATAGTATAAAAGAACTTATTAGATTATACAAAGAGCAAGAAAGTAAAGAGCAAAAAGGATACTATGGGGAAAAACCATTAACGCTTGAAGAACTTCTGGATATGAGAGCTGATGGAAAGAAAATCACTGCTTTACTTTTGGCTGCTCAGTTTGGTTTTAACGAATGTATTAAAGCTCTATTAGAAGGAGGAGCTGATCCTGGAATTACGGATTGTAACGGCTGGTCACTTGCTCATTATGTTGTGTATGTATAAAATTTTAATAATTTTTTATTTTTAGTTAATTTGTTTAAATAATAACCGTTCACATATTATTATAGAGATAATGATAAGGATGAGACGCTTAGATTATTACAAGAATTGTTACAAGCAGAAACTTATCAGAGAATGTTGGAACAACGTAGTAAATCATTCAATCATACACCATTATCTATTTCGATTCTAAATTACAACGAGAAAATGACTGAATATCTTTTGCAACAAGTCACCGATAAGAATTTATTCACTTATGATTTTGAGAATAATCGATATCTTCATTTATCTCTTAGAGAAGGCCTCTGGTGTATCTCAAAAAAATTGATTGAAGCAGAAGAATCTATTATTACAGCTGAAGATAACGAAAGATTTTGTTCTTTATATCACGAAAATTCATTTGGACAAACTCCTACAGATATAGCTATTCAAATGTATTTAAATTCACTATTTTCACTCCAACAATCAACAACTAATAGTTTTGGATATCAATATCATCATAATCAATATAAAGTGGTAGAAAAGTGTGCGACGAAATCTTTCAACTTTATGGTACCAAAATATTTACCTAGAAATCAAGGAAATCCATTAGCAATAAGAGTAAACGTTAAATTTGATGCAGTTAACGATATGGTACATAAGTTAACTAAAAAAATCACAGATGGAAATGTTCATTATAATCATTATAATACAGGTATTACATCAAAGGAACAAAATACCAAGAGTCATTTAAATATACCAATGTTTAGTTTTAAACAACTTAAACAACCTAGTACCCTATCGTCACATTACCAATTTTCTAGTACACATGTGAATGTTTAAATTCCAATATGTTAAAATTATTCCTTTTTTCTTAAGACCATTAAATATTAAAAAAGGTTTTTTTTAACTGTAATCCTTATATATGTGATCGCTGATGAAGTTTACAAATTAGTTTTTTTTTATTGGGACCATTATCAAAATAAAGAAAAATAAAGCATTTACGTATTTAAATTTTTTTTTTTTTTATTCGAATCAAAAAAAAACTAGGATCTTTTTATTTTTATTTTTATTTTTATTTTTAATTCACAAAATGAACCGGGTTACTACCCAGCCCTACATATTAAGACCGAAAGCAATTTCTATACTGAAAACCAAAACACGTCTGACCCTTTCGATCAACTAGTGATATATATAATACGTCTCACAAAAAGGATCTGATTTTAGTTCGTTGCTCAGAGTGTACCGTAAATTCTTACGACTATCGTTCTAATTGTATCGTGGCCTTCCCTACTAAAGGACTCGTTTGTTCGAGGTTCACAAATCCACGTCCTTCGAACACAAAAGATATTTAGAAAAAATTATTTTATTGCTACTATTCAGTATATCAACAATTTTTACAGTTTAATAATATTTCACCGATGAATAGTTCTATCAATAATCCAGTTATCAACGCTGATTCGTCTAACCTCTCTTTACGTGCGGTTCGTCAACAAATCAACGATGCACTGCACTGCAAACAACATTCTTTTTTTTTTTTTTTTTTGGTAAATGACACACTTTATTAATTATATGATAGAGAACATACAAAATCTATAAAGCACACCTTGAATTTGACAAAACCTTTGTCTCCCTCCATTCCAAAACCGTTACCTCATATAGTAACGTTGTAGTACCATTTCTTACTACATAACACTGCAAACAATATATTAAAGAACAATTATTTAATTTAGCTTTAGACTTTACTACGACCACCGATTTTGTATTCTACACGTACGGATGGTTCAGTTAATTCAGTTAAACAAATTGGTTGCACCACTTGTACAAGTGGTTATGGATGGATTCAATTTCACCTGTCGAGCCCAAGAAAAGAATTCAAAGCTTCCACATTATTTTTCCCTTTCTAAAAGTGAGGCTATGGGAATCCTCACGGTCATCATCGTTCTCCCCTATAATAGTCGATGCACTAGCTATTTACACTGATTCAAATAATTGTATTAATACTTATGGGTCACAATTGCATACTCCTACAGTCAGTCCACGTCGACAACTCAAACAAAATAATTTTTTGATCTGGAAACTCATCATGTGGTTAATCAAAACTCGAAATATCAACTTAGACATGATTAAAGTCAAAGCGCATACCAATGATACATTCAACGAACATGCGGATCGTCTGGTCAAAGCCAGCGCTAATATTAAAGATCCCATGGTTGTTAACTACAAATTTTTTTTCGGATTCTTCTTTAAGTCTAATCAAATGGAACGACTTATACGTTGTAGACCAAAATGTTAGACGTTGGAGTAACAATGTCATACGTGCGAAAATCTTCAATTCACTTATCAATAATTCCTCACTTAAACCCATCGAACAACACATACTGGATGGTCGAATCGACTGGGTTATTATTAAACAATGGATGAACCATAACCCACTGACTCGCCTACCGGCGAAGCTCTGTCTAAAAAACAGGGATCGAAGATGAAGAAGTCGAATTTTATTTATCCGACCTTGGACGTATCTCAAAGAAATTACCCAAAACTGTATCCTACCAGCACCCTTCTGTGTAAAGAATGCAATGAACAGCCCGCTGCCAATTTTTACATCGGGTTATGTCCGAAACACACAGACAAAATCACCATACTGATGAACAAACATTGTCAACTATTTATCAACATTATTGATAAACACGCCACTGGCATGACTTTTGATCTCAAGTCAAGAATAGAAGTATCATCATTGTTCAATCTCAATTCGCCTATTTCACAAGATAGATAATATAGTAAACTCACCTTTCTTTTTACTGATCCCTTCGGAATTATCTACAACTACATAGGACGCAAGCGAGCACGTTATATTGCTTTCTGAATTTATCGTTCCACTCATGCATGACATCAACAAGGACATTTGGCTAGATCACGCCAATGCCACGAAAGAATGAGAACTATCTTTGGGCATCACTAAACACAAAAGAAGTTTTATCATCAACGCTTTGGGAATAATAAAAAACGTCGCCGTTCCAACGGAACACGTGATAACGATGTACTGACAAATCAAGATCAACCTCGCCCATCAAATACACGGTCCGGTACCAATGTTGTAGGCTACAATAATAGTGCTAACCGTATTAACGAATCTGCCTATATACGTTGGACTTCAAGTAATTTTTTACATGGGGAAGATTGGACCACACATAAAGAATTTTCTACTTTTTTGTTACCTCATAATATAAATTCGTTTTATAATATTTCCTTTATTTGTAATTTGGTAGTGTAGTTTATTTTTGGTTCACGGTTCTAGTAGATAGTTTTTTTTCCTTGGTTCGTAGTACGTCCGGTAGGGAGTTTATCTCTCTCCCGCTCTTTCCTATTTTTCTAATCAAGGTGGCAACACCCTTCTAGTAACTTCAACGAAATGTTCTAAATACGGTGATTCTGTTGAATCTTGAGTTAAAGTTTTCCCCATCACAACATTTTTGATCACATTATTCCAGTGTGCCGTCCATTGTGCTATAGGTTTAGAAACTTCATTCGGTGTTATTTTTGATATTTTAACCGTGTTATCTTTATGAGTACTATCTTGATTGATCGGTATGATTACTAAGGATATAGTTGTCTTCCAAATTTTTAAACCAACGTGGTATTTTTCCTTTAAAATTTGTTGAATTTTGTCTTTTAATCTCTTTCCATGTCAGTAGATGGTAACCATCACCACTGGTGAACTGGTCCAGAAACATAATCCGTTTAGACCTAAGTGATATGAGGTCTTCTTATGATAAGTCTTCTATGTAGTCTCTTATGGCGGCTCCTATAATGTTGATATTAATGGTGAGTGCTAAAGAAAATTGATATTGGTTAATAAGAGGCCAAATAAGTCAGTTTTTTGATTGATGTGATATATTTGTTAATATTATTTGGTAGCTTCGGGTACCATAAGTCTATTTGTAAGTCCGTGACTTTTTGTATTGCAATAGGCCTTAGTACAGGTGTATTAAATAATGCTTGTAGGATATTCAATTGAGATTTGACTTGAATATTATATAAATTGTCTAAGAAGAGTATAAATCGTTATAAATTATATTATCGGATGTCGAGATAGGGAGGTTTAGTCGTTGTTTGTATAGTTTTTTCATAGGTGCCATTAAAAATGGCATTGTTTGAAGTAGTCGAGTTTACGTCAAAGAAAAAATCAGGAAAATTATAGATAATCCTGACCGAAATTATCATAATTCCGGTCCGGGACCGGAAAAAAAGTGCGTATACAGCTAATAGTAATAAAAATTTAAGTCGAATTTTATAGTCAAAATATTTCAAATCACTGAATCTAATGGCTTAAGAATAATAACTTTATTATGATTGGTAGAATAATAATATAAATCAACAAAATTTACGTTACAAAATATTGTATCTATTAATTAATAAATAATTCATAAATCTCAATCAAACTCATCATTATGATTATATGATTGTAAATCAATTAGAATAATTTCTAACTATTACCTTTTTTTTTATATTTTTTAATTAAATTTTCTAATTGATGCTTAAATTTCACTTTTAAAATAATAATTTCCAATATATAACTTTAATAATAAAGAATTTCTATCTTTCCAATTATTAAGAAATAATTTTATATCTTCATAATTTTATCGTATCATGATAAAAAAAAAAAAATTAAAATTTAAATAAATTATTCATCCCAATTAAATTAATTGTTTTTATCCTCATATATTTCAATAATTAATCCATTTAAAAGTTTACAATTAATCAATAAATTCTTCAATTTCATAAATTAAGAGTATTAAAATTGGAAAATATTGTTAATTTAAGATATTTTAAATTTGGACAAATTTTGATAAATTGTTTTAATAAGAATCTTACCATCATAAAAATACACTAATTTCTGAAAGAGTTTCTTTCGTATTTTTAATTAATTTTGCCAATATTTTAGATGAAATTTTTGCAACTTTTAAAATTTTAAAACGGGTAATGATAAATTTTCAAAATAATTCGAATCATTCCATTTAATTTAACCATCAATAAAGAAAATTCTAAACTTAATAAATTTGTAAGATGAGAAAGAAATCTCTCATGTTTAATCAATGATTCTTCATCTTTTATCATACTGGCAAATTTAACGTCATTCAGATTTTTTTGTACTTCAATTAATTTAATAATATCATTCACATCATCAGTTAAATTTTTTAATATTTTAGCCAATCCTTCGATTAATTTTGGTAATAAAACAACGAAGGGATTGAAGTTCTGAAAGGTAATTTTCGGATGATGTAATCGATTATCAAAATCAAATGGAATAGAAAGGTGAATTAATTTTGTATTTCTATTAATAAATATTTTTAATATCTCATTTTTTATTATAGATAATTTGATTTTTCAACTTTTTTTGAAGAAATTATTACACTTTTTGAGTATGATAATTCCAAATATTTCCAAAAAAAATATAATTAAATAAAGGTCGTTGATATATTTTTGATTATTAATTCCTCGATCCTTCAACATATCTCTTGATTCTTTTGATAAATATGAAATTATTACCATTAAAATAATTCGTAATAAAAGGATTTTTCCATAAAATTGGTACCGCTGTTTCACATCACGATCTATTAACTAAAAGGCAAGAATAGAGTGATTTTTTATCATTTTTTAATTCTTCAAAAATTAGGAAAAGTATGTCTTTGTTGAGATATACCATTTTTTTTTTTTTTAAAAAAAAAAACCTAACAAATATTGCGCTCATTATTCATTAGATTAGGATATGTGGAATTTTAATTTTAGATCGAACTATTATAACTCAATGATTGGACGAAACCGATATCTCCATTAAATATTAATTATATCTACTATTGGGTAATAATAGATTAAACTTTAAAGGTTTCTTGTTAAGTTTTTACTGAATTAAAATTTTATTTTTTATAAAAAAAGTCGCTTTATGTCTTTATTATTATTATTTTGATTAACAATGAGTGATTTTATCAAGACTTGTTTTTTTTAATCGTATAATTAACGTAAATGCGTTAGTTTATAAGTTGTTAGTTCATTTAAAAGTTTTGCTTAGATTGCAGAATAAAAAAAAAAATATTCTTTATTCTTTTAAATGTTTATTTTTAAATGTCTGATTTTGTGATTTTACCTTTATATAATAACTCTAATAATAAAAGCTCGGAACGTGATTTAAAGCCAATAATATTCCTTAAATCATCTAACCAACAAGTAGGACGTGAAGGTTTCTCACATGTCAGAGCTGATATTTATGATAAATTTTTGAAGTGTCAAGGAAACTAGAACGGAATTTTATAATTAGTATATATAATCTTAAACATATATATAGTTTATTAGAAAGTTTTTAAGCTACTTAATCATAGGCTTACATTATAAAGAAATTAAGCTGCCAATTATAATATAGCTTATAAATAAATAATAAATATTCGATTCACTAATTCACTAAATCATCAACTTTACTTTCATCGTTACTGTCTAAATATTAGAAATATAAATATTATTAGTATACTTAAAATATATAAAGTAAGCGGTAAATTAATGTTTATAGTACCTCTTAATTGTATTGAATTAGATACTTCCAAATCGATTAATTGAGAGTCACAAACTATTAAACAATAGGTTAATTATTATTTATTTAAGTAAAAATAAAATTTAAAAATAAAAAATAAAAATACCTTCATTATTAACATATGAAGTAATAATGGATGAATTAACAGGTTTTGGTAATAGATTACTAAATGTAAACGCTCTACTAGTATATACGGCATCTGAATTCTTCTCGTACGAAGTTGAGATATTTGGTATTTCTTTATCAGCTTCTTCAAATCCTGCTTTAATTTCGTTTCCTTTATAACCGAATTTTTCTTCTTCGTCATTCTCATTTCTAATAGACTCATACCAAAATCCAACTATATTGTGTAATTCTTCAGCTGTTGGTCTTTCATTTGGATTGGCATTCATGCATTTATAAACTAATTTTTTATAAAATTCAGGAGTGTCTTTTCCAAATTCTGGTCTTAGTCCATTACATATGGCTAATGCCAAGCTTAAATCATGTTTTTTGTTGTAAAAAGGTGGTTTTCCTGATGATAATTCAGCCATAACTACACCTAGACTATAAATATCGGATGATGATATATATGGTTCACCATTCAAGACTTCTGGAGCAATATATGGCATTACTCCATATACTTTATCATCTGATTTTTGTTCATTTGCTGGTCCAGATAATCCAAAGTCTGAAATATATTCGCCAATATTAGTTTTTAAGACATTTCCACTATGAAAATCTTTATGTAAATATCCTAATCTATGTAAATTTCGTAGGTCTACGAGTATACCAAGTAAATAACCAATTTTATTTAACCACTTAATGTTGTTAAAGTTTTTTGAAAGAATACTTCTCAAATTTCCTTTATCAGCAAATTGTATTATCATCACAAATTCTTTAGTTTCTGGGTATTTAGTTAGTCCATAGAAACTCAATCCGTTATTTTTAGATATATTCCAATGTATCTTAAGCTATACATACAATGAATTTTTAATATAAGAGTATTATTAAATGATTATTAATATTAAATAATAAAAATAAATAAATTAAAATAACATAGTATAAAAACGTACTTCATTTAAATATTTATCTGATATATTCTGTGATCCATTTATCTTTTTCAAGGCAACTTTTATAGATTTGGGTTCCCTTTTTTTCCAACTTCCATCACTTTGTTTATCATAAGATGATTTACCATCAATCCAAGTTGCAGAATATACTTTGGCAAATCCACCTTCACCAATTTCTTTTATATCTGCAAACCTCTCATATGGTACCCATTCAAGAAAATCATGGCTATATTTTTTGTCCCATCCTGCTGGCTTACAAATAGTATCTTTTATAAACTTATCAATATCAGGATTTTCACTTGTCCATCCTTCCATTATTCTAAATTTGTCACATTCTTTACACCACAATTTTTCAGTAAAGGGTTTATTACAATACGAACAATTTTTGTAATTGGAATCTCTACTTGAGATATTTAATTTACTAAATTTGGTTCCCATTAGGTTATTTTCGTAATATACAATATTAACAGTTAACAAAATTATTATTTTTTTTTTTTATATGTATATTTATAATTAGTTACTAAAAAAGGATAATTAAAATCAAAAGCGGAATTACTCCGATCATTGCACAATCCAGGTGATCATTTTTTTCGGGCCGTATTTTTTCCGGTTCATCAGTTTAGCTTATATATTGATGTCATCAGAAATTCTTCTAATTTAATTTAATTTATTTAAAAATATGTATTTATAAGTATCCCAAAAAAATTATATAATTTGTTATAGGCATTAATTTGTTTTTTCAACTTGTAAAAATTCTAATAATAGTAAAAATTTTGAAATCTATTTTATCATATCGATTCATACTTCATAGAATCATGGTACTAGTACAAATAAAAACCAGAGTTCATAATATATATATATTCATTCTCATATAAATTGAACCATTATTTTCACTGAATCTCCTAATTTATAGTTTTACTATTTGAAAATGACCGACTTTTTAAAAAATTCTTTATTATTAATTTCTACATTATCTTAATGGACCGCCAAGACCTTCATGAGATTTAAAATGTCACTTAAGTTTACATTATTATCCGAAAGTGTCAAGACAATTGAGCAAATTCAAAGAGCTGGTTTTCTTCCTGATCCTGTACAAGCTGACGTGATGATGAATGAATTTAAGATAACTAATAAATATAGAAATCAAGCCTAAGTTCATCTTGATAAAATCTTGAAACCATATAAACATATTTTAGACCCGAATGGAAAAATTTGGAAGATGATCGAATTATTGCCGAATGGGATCAAGTTTCTAATTATGAATAGGAAAAAAAGAGAAGTTAGGAAAAGGAAAACTATTTTGTATTTACACGATGGAGGTTATTATTTTCTTTGTAAAGAATCTCATCGTTCTATTACAAGCTCTCTTGCTAAAAAATAGCGAATGCAAGAGTATTAGGTAAGATTAACATGAAATTTTATCAATCATTAATGTATTACCTACTAAAATTTTCTTTTATAGCAATCAATTATCGGCTTACATCTCAAAATCAATTTCCTACCGCATTACAAGATGCATTTAGAGTTTATATCTCTTAAAGATATGAGATTTGAACCTTTAAATCCAAAAAATATTGTAATTGCCAGCGATAGTGCTGAGGCGGTTTAAGTTTTGCTCTTAGTCTTGCTATACGTGATGCTGGTTCGTCATCATCAGCTGGTATTATCGGTTTGATAAATATGTATTGTGTTTTTTCTCTGTATTGTTGAATTGTCAATCATTCACATGATAATATTGCGACACATCACAGAATGATCTTAACAGTTAGCACGCACAGGAGATGATGAAAGATTCAAGATGATGCAATTTATCTGCTTAACCAACTAAATATAAGAGTTCATCTTATAATGCTGGTAAATTTGAAAAATCTCCATTCCAAATACTACACTTTAAATATATGAAGAAATGCCTCACGTGTTCCAAGCAAATATACTAAAATTGATTTTGTTTTTTTTTTAAAATTAAAAAATCAATTCTTCTAATAATGTATTCTAGATGATGATGGAACATGCTTGCGCTACGAAGTCATATGAACGTATAGTTGAATGAGTGACAAATATTCTTAATGAACCACTTTCTCCTTCCTCTTATGATTACATAAATTTTAAGGGAGTCCTTTAAAAGAACGCCATAAGATAGTTCTTAATTGGAAAAAAATACCAAGCTAAGTAACCGCACGAAATGAATTGAAATAAATTCAATGCTACTTCACTACTTCACGTAAATTTTTAGTAAGTTAAAATAAATTTTAAATTGCGAAACATATTAATTATTTTTTAGTATGCCGAAACTCAACAAGAACTTGTTCTTAGGATGATGTTTTTAAATCAATACATTATAGTAATATATTAGATTTATTAGTCCGGAGTGTAACGAAGGACTATATGATTTAGATGAGTTGGTACAAAACCGTTCCGTTTGTCCGCCCGCTTGTCCTTTGAGTCAATATATAATTGGTTCTTTCATATATTACAAATATACTATGAAAATATCAAATATCTCGATCTGCTATTAATCCATGTATGTGTTGGTCTACTTCTTTCGTATTATAATTTTTAGCTTTTCGATCGATAAATATTTTTAAAATTTTTGATGTAGTATTTTTATTCTTGTAAAATTTTATACCAAATATGAAATATAATAAATTATTTTTGTACAAATTTTACAACAAATGCGAAATAAATTAAATTAAATATATTAGCTTGTTCGTTATTGTATCATTTCCAATGTGATAAGCTCCAGACTTCGTAACGGTTAGTCACATTAATTTCACTATTATAAAATAATAAATAAATAAATTTTACAACAATTGTAAATATTAAATTATAATTCATTTATGAAATTACTCTTAAAAAATATATTCTGGATACTTCTTTTTCTTGATTTGAGTTATGTTCATCTCCAGTATGTGTTTTTGTCGTGTCAAATATTAATGGTAACGACTAACGATAATTATTTTGATCAAAATTTCCAAATAAGATAATATTAACGTCCACTTTAATATATTGAATAATTGTGATATTTAGATTACCCTCTTGAATTGTCTGCGCCTGATCTATTCCATGTAGTTTGATTGGCTATTGAGGTCATGTGCACGTCCAAATTTTTATCCATTGTTTCTTATTAAACTGAAATTTTTTTTTTTTTTTGTTGTTTCTTTGACGGTTAAACCGAGAAAATTTTTTTTCTTTCCTTTTTACGGTTTTGAAAACCAGATTTATTATTTTTTTTTCGTTCTCTCCAGTCTTATAAAAACCGGATTTTTTTCTTTTATTTTAAGCTCAGAATTTTTTAAAAAAAATTTTCCCCTCCCTTCCGGTTCTTTAAAGACTGGATTTTTTTTGTTTTTTTTAATAATATTTTTTTTCCTTTCACAGTTTTTTAACCCGGATTTTTAATTTATTTTTTTTTTCATTTTTTATTTTTTGTTCTTTTCCCCTTTAGGTTTTGATCAGTGATCGGAACTAACGCTGCGAATGCCTTTATTTTTATTTTTTCATTTTTTTTTTTTTTCATTTGTACGGATATACTGTATATAGGCGAAAAATAAATTTTTGGACTCAAGATCAAAAGTCCACTCCCCGAGTATCGCAAACAAATAGTCATTCCTTCTTTTTTTTTTATTTATTTTTTAATTAATTTAATGAATTTATTTAATTAAAAAAAATAGTATAGAGATAATGATATATTTATTTAATTACTTTAATTATTATTTATTAACAACAAACATTAGTATAATTTTTAAAAAATAGTTTATTTATGAACAATTATGTAATTATGTATTTATATTATCAATAAAAATTCGTATGTAAATTGGTAAATTAGGATGTTTAGTGTATAGTGTATATAATGTATTCAAACTTTACTGCGAGTTTGAACTTGTTTATTACGTAATTATCTATGAAAAATACATTATCATTACCGGACTGATCGTGGATATTCTATTTGAAAGGTAACTGTGTGAATTTCATCAATTTTTTTGGTGATCAACAGGACACCGCTACTCCGAGTATCGACTCCGGAAATATAGGGTTGAGCGAAAAAATTTACTGTTCGTGAAAAGAGTCGAAGTGCCGTAAAACGGCTTGTTCGGTATGTGAGTTGGATACTTCCTCCATATATTATTAAGTAACTTTTGGGTAGATAAATAACCAGCGAAGCAGGTCGATAAAAAAATTGTTACCTAAAATTTCTCAAAAATACACGAAATAAAAAAAAAATGAAGAAAAAGCGTGAAAATAAAAGTTTTTATAGAAAAAGAAGTTATAAAAGTGTTTATAAAACTTTTAGAAATGTTTTTTGATACGAGTAAGAGTTACCAATGTCCGTTATGTCATTTTAAATTCAAAAGTAAACTGGTTTTATTTGTTTAATTAGTTATGTCGACACGTGACGCCTAGTGGTAAGGAAAAAAAAAGAACACTGTCAACCAATTATTAAGTAGTATGATATTAAATTTAATTTATTTACTATCAATAATCAAGAAAAAAAAGGTTTAATGTGTTAAATTTATTTTATTATATAATTCTACACAGTAAAAAAAATTCTAATAGTAATAATATCATATAGTATACTTATTATGAATTAAAAAAATTGAATATTTTAATTATTATACAATATAACCGAATAAAATAAATTTACATAAAAATCTTTGTATTATACAATATAACAGAATAAAATAAATTTACATAAAAATCTGTTAATTTTTGAATTTTAAAATTAAGCTTCTGCGTCTGCGTCACGTTTATAATAGCCATAGTGCGCGTCTCCAATGCGTCTGCATCACGTTTAATAGCCATACGCTTCTGCGTCACGTTTATAGCCATACGCTTCTGGTTCTGCGTCACGCTTATATCCATAGGCTTCACGTTTATATCCATAGGCTTCTGGTTCTGCGTCACGCTTATATCCATAGGCTTCACGTTTATATCCATAGGCTTCTGGTTCTGCGTCACGCTTATATCCATAGGCTTCACGTTTATAGCCATACGCTTCTGGTTCTGCGTCACGTTTGTATCCATAGGCTTCACGTTTATAGCCATAGGCTTCTGGTTCTGCGTCACGTTTGTATCCATAGGCTTCTGGTTCCGCGTCACGTTTGTATCCATAGGCTTCTGGTTCCGCGTCACGTTTGTATCCATAGGCTTCTGGTTCCGCGTCACGTTTATAGCCATAGGCTTCTGGTGCCGGAGTCGGCGCCGCGTCTGCGTCAATGGTGAATTAAAATATTATTAAAAGAATTCGTTTGACTAATTTGATAAAAAAGTAAAAAATTTTTAATAATTTATTTACTCGCTAAAGCCATAGTAAAGCCGAAAATCAATAGTAAGTGTTTTAATTGCATGATTTCAGATAATTTATTTTTTTCGTGATATGTATAACTTTTAATTCGTTGTTCGTTTAATTTGTTTGAAGAAATTTTTATTGTCTCAAGGTGTTTTTATAAGAAAGTTTTTCTATAATGACAAATATTTCATGATTATATTTTTTATATTCGTACAAGAGTATTTTTGCCACGATTTTTTACATTGCGCCCATTGCGCCACATCGGAACGAACAGTGCCACTTTAAATTAATAATATGGAAATAGATGATTTCTTTTTTAAAATAAATATCGGGTGTATAATTGTAAATATGCCACATTTTTACATAATGGATTATGCTTTAGCTGGTTTTGAATAATTGGTATCATACTATTATCTTTACCATTTGTTTTCATTTCACAGCCACATTAGTGGACAATTCAATTTTAATCACATTATCACGTGATTTGTCAAACTGATCGCCATGTGTTACTAGTAAAATATAACGGTACCCATGTTTAAAGTGAAAGATCAACCTATCACAAAATAAAAACTATTTTTCGGAAATGACGAAATGCTCAAGTTTATCGTTATGTATTTTTTTTTTTTGTTAGTTTCTTTTCTGTATTTTTCAAAAAATAGGATCGGCTAATTGAAATACCTCAAAACTATATGAAAAATTATTATACACTTGAAAATAATAAATAATAAAAGAAGAAAACACTATTTTTAAATGTTTTAAGCAAAAATATTTTATAGCTTTTATTGGAATCTCAAAAAAAAAGTATAATTCTAACTTTCTAATGATTATTATCACGTGATCAGATTTTCGGTGACGCGCCTGACGCGTGATTTTAAACGAGTGCTTCGGACATTACAACGGATCCCGTTACCTAGTTATTATACACATATAATATAGGTAATATAACTTTCCTTTATTTTAAAATAAAGGATAAAATTTTGGAATACACAATACTATTTAATATGATTTAAATGATTGAAAAAGACAGATGATGAATCTTTATCATTTAGATCATTTTCCGAACACTGCTTCAGACATTACTAAAAATATTGAGATATATTTGAATATAAAAATTGAGAATAACGAAAAATTTAAATTTCATTTAATAATATAATAAGCATACGATATACTATATAAAGAAATTTTTTTTTGGGATTTTAGATGACAATAAACTCGTCTATCTATTTTAACACGAACTTTGACATTTAAATATTTAATATCGGAATTATTGTAAATAAATTCATATTTTTTTCCTAAATTTATGTTTTTTATTTGTAAAATTTCATTATTATTTTCTAGAATTTGAAGAAAGTTAAGTGTTATGGTGATGTTGCATCGTGATTTAACATTATGAGTATTTCGTATTTATCGTGGTTAATTTTAATGTTAGCAAATTTGTAGAGACTATTTACAGTTTGAAAATTTCGTTTTAAGGCTTCTAAAGACGAAACGAACCAACTTGTGTCATCTAAATATCCAACTAGAGTCGTATTGAAAGAAATAGGGGTGTTTTATTCTTCGTTGTATATATTATTGTATTTTTTGATAGAAATATTAAGATGTTGTGACGTTGATTTGGAACATTGGATCATACGTATAGTATATAATCCATAGAATCGGACTTATGACTTCGTATCGATTCCTCGTAGTACAATGTAAATAATATCATCAAATGGTGATCTCATAAGATTGATTTATGTTATGTTTGACAAATCACGAGATGATGTGACTAAACATTGGGGCTGTGAAGTGATGTAATTTAAAATATGTAAGAATAATAGTATGAATAATAGTATGATGATGATTATTCAAAACCATTTTAAAACATAATCATCTTTACAAATTAATACCATACATCTATACACACGATTTTTTTCAAAAAAAAAAAACACATCTATTTCCACATTATTAATTCAAAGTGGCACTGTTCGTTCCAATTGTGGCGCTATAAATAAAACGTCACTTATACTTCGCCTCGTTAATAATTTTACGATGTTTGCGGCTTAAATAATTATTGATATCAAATTTTCATATTATTAATTAAAGTGGCTTTGCTCTTAGATTGTAAATTTTAGCATGGCGCAATATAGATAAACGTGGCAAAAATACTCTTCATTGAAACAATTAATAATGTGATCATGAAATAATTTGAAATACGTGTTATTATAGAAAATTTTTCTTACACAAACAATTTGAGAAAGAGGAGAGAAATTTCTACAAATTAAAATTAATCAATCATACAATTTAAAATATTATTTATTGATTTTTGTCTTTACTATTGCTTCAGCGGGTACTAATAAACAATTTTATTAATTTTAATATTAACTATTAAAATGTCATCTTTTAATAAAGCTTTAGGGAAATCGATAAACGTGACGTAAACGCAGAATTAAACGTGACGTAGACCCAACCGTTTTCCAAACAAATAATACTTCTTAATTTTAGGAAACCTTAATTTTTTAAGTCCAAAATGTCGTATACTGTCGTAGATCAATTTATATAATAAAACAAAGTAAACAAGTAAACATTAAAGAGCTTTAAATATTAACGAATAGTAAAACTTTATTATGATTAGAAGTTTTGAAATGAAATTATCATATTAACAAATGAAAATATTCTTGTTATTTATTAAAAATATATTAATTTTGTGAAAAAATTCATCAAATATAATAAATTCAAATCATTCAAAAAAAAAATAAAATCTCGGATGATTATGCCCTTTGATAAAGAAAAAAATTTTTATTATTAAAAAAACGTTAGGCTTGCAAAATCCTGATTTCGTGCGGTTTGCGCCAAAGATGACGCCGGCCTACTTAAACTTATACATCACAACATAACAACATCACAACTTAATTATTGGAATTTTCAGGCTGGACATCTATCGATTTCGTATTTTGTAATGAAGTATATTAAGAATCCTGGGAAATCCTTTTAATAATATATTTGTAAAATGATGATTATTATTAAAAAAAAATATATATATTGTTCCAATTGATATCAACAAATTAGATTTTACACTAATTTTTGATATAGTATGAAAAAACGGGAATTCCTGAGAGACCAATCCAACAAACTAAATTATTATCTATTATTAAAATTTACCTTTATCATAATCATCTTCAGTATAAAAGTTGCATATTCTTTAGTATAGTATAAACAATGAATCATTTCTTTTTGCTTGAGTCAGTACACGAGACCTTTTAAGTTTTTGATTAATATTTATTTTAGTGCCACGTCTAACTAAACATTGAATTTTTAAAATATAACTTGCCATTTAGTCAAATTCCATAAGTATATTTAAGAACTCTTGAAGAAATAACGCATTTCATATTTTCATATTTAATCTTATAGATAATCCGTAAATTACTGCTCCATGTGAAATTTCTGCCATAGGTTGAGTAGGTACTGAAATATCATTTATTTGATGACTGAATTCTTGTTTAATTCTTTTTTGTAAATATTTTGATTCACTAAAACCTTCAACTAATAACATTGTAGAAACATTATCTAGTTTAAGTTAATGAAATTTTACCCAAATATTTTTAACTTTTTTTGGTTCCTTTTTTTTTAAAATTTTTCATTTTTTTCAAACCGAAAAATTTGTTTTTTCCCATTCTTTTTTTTAGACCGTATTGTTATTTTTTAAAAAAATTTTTTCTTTTTGGACCGAATTATTTTTCATCGGTACTTATCTGTTATTTTTTTTTCGGATTCCTTTTTTTCGGAAATTTCCCTTTTTTAAACCGATTTCTTTCTTTATCCTTTTTCTTTCCCCCAATTTTTTTTTTAAATTTTTTTTTATTATTAATAAAGAAATAAAATATTATATTAAATATATTTACAAAATTATTATTTTTTTTTTTAAAAAAAATCAATATAACATGTAGGAAAATTGACCGACGTTGATAGAAAGACGATTAAAAATATTTTCAATTAAATTGAACGCTGGATAAATAGTTTTGATTTTCAAATTCATAAAAAAAAATTGATATTTTTACAATATTTTATAATTAATTAATTGAAGAAATTGTTAATTTAATGATTATTATAATAAATCCATATCCGAAATTCTCTAAATAAAAAGATTTTAATTCAAATGGTTTAGTTAAATTTAATAATTTATCGAGCAAAACAAAAAGAATAATTAATATAAATAAATGAAATGAATAGATTCTAATACATTAATTGTTCAAATATTTTCCTAAGTTAGTTATATAAAGTTTAAGATTGACGTAATATAAAATAATAAAAAGTAATTATAAAATTTATAATTAATTAATAAAAATATTTGTAGTATGATATTTTCATAATATTAAAGTTTTTTTCGAAAATACTTTTAAAAAATTAACAAATTTTTATCGGTAATTATTTTTTCACACCTTCAGTAAACGGTTTGTTGCAATACGAACAACTTGTGTGATTAGAATCTGTATCTGAGATTATTTATTTTTTATTAAAAGAAGGATTTTTTTTCTATAATTCTTCTTTTATTCATCTTTTCCTTTTCTTTTCTTTTATTAAAATTTAAAATTTTAACCTAAGAGTAGAATTACTATTGATCTTTAAGGTTCATATATTTTCCGTATAATTGAACACTTTCTAAAATTTCGATATTTTTAGAAACGTCGGTCACGTAATAAAAGAAAATTATTTATTTTATGATGAATACTTTGTATTGTGATTAGTTTATGTGTAAGTTTATTAAAAATGAACCGGAATTTTGCTCTTTAACTTTAAGAGTAGTATTCTCTGATTTTTTAGGAAGCACTAGAATGATATTTTTTTAAATTTTCTTTTATCCAGGATGACCGGTCAAACCGGATAATTATTATTTGAATATTTCGTCTGTAAAAACTTTTTATCCAGACATCCAGAAAAATAAAAATTATTCAGCTGGAAGCACTAATTCTCGTAATTATAAAACTTACTATTTAAATTCATCAAATTCTTTCGTTATAAAAAAAATACAACAAATGATAGTTGTTTCACGCACTATAAGGTGAGCCGATTATACCTTGAAAGAAAAAAATTTATAAAAGAATTAATATTATAAATTGTAATGCATATTACCAATAAATTTTTTGATACTTATAATCATGGTAAAATTAAAATTAAATGATAAAAATTTCACAATGAAATTTATTTTATACAAAATATTAATATTTATTAAAATGTTCAGATTTAATACAGAAATTATAACATTTTTTGTAGTCCTGAGAAAGCACATAATTTTGCTTATTATATAAAACACAAATAATAAAAAAAATGAAATAATAAATATATAATAACATAAACTAAACTTATTAAATCAAATCAAAATTTTCTCCCATAATATCTTAAGATATTGTAAGGTATTTGCATGGTAATCAACAAATTTTCAAGAATATCACAAAATAGATCATATTTGCTAAAAGAAACTAAGTTAACATTAAATAATTTCTTTTGAGCTTCGATCAATTTAACAATTCCATAATTATTTTTTCTTGCCCTAATAATAAGTTCTAATTCTTTAATTGACTTACATGTTTTAATTAATTCAGTTAAAATGGTATCATTTATATTGGTACTACAACTAAGGTATTCAATTCCTGAAAAACAACTTTCAGCTCCACAAATAGGATTTATTTTATCAAATTTTTGGTGTACAAAAAGGTGAGTAAATTTCATATTATCATTAATAAAAAGACTTAATACTTCATCTAGAACTATTAATGAAAATTCTTTATACAAGTTATTAATTATTCTCTGTATATCATTTAAATTTAAATATCTACAAAATCTAATATAATTAAATGAAGGTTTTTTATAAAAATTTATCAATAACTTATATTTTCCTATTTCATTTTTTGATACATTTGATAAATGTGAAATTATTACACTTAATAATAACACTTCGTTCTCCTTTTTTAAGGATTCCCAAGGATTTCTCCATAAAATTGGAATAATTATTTCACACCAAGTTTTATTAACCAAAAGGCATGAATAAAGAGTATTTTTATCATTTTGCAGTTGTTCGAATATCATATAAAGAACATCCCTATTCAAATTGGACATTTTTCTAAGAAAGAAAAAATTTTTATTTTTCATTTTTCCCACAAAACAACAATTAATTATTTATATTATTTTATTATGTTGCACTGTTTACACGGTATATCCGTAAATCATTCCTTTTGAGGTAAGTCCAGGCGGTATTAAATCAATAATGTCATCGTCATCACGTGATCGTATTTGTAAATTTTCTATTATACGTTTTGATATGATTACGTCTATACTATAAAAAAAAATTGTTTAAGGCTTTGGAATTTGTTACATTAAAATTTATCTCAAATGAGTTTGTTTGGAATGCAAATATTTTATAAAATAATTTAATTGATTTAAAATATTTGTCAATAGCACCTTAATATGAATAGTTTATCAAACATAAGACAATTAATGTTTTATTATTAATGTCTTTAAATTTTAAATTAAATAATAAATAATTTTAATAGTACCTCTTAATAATATTGTGCCAGAAACTTTTAAGTTGATTGATTGAGAGTTCAAAAAACTATAAAAACGAAAAAAAATTATTGTCCAAAATAAAATTAAATACCTACAATATTTATATTAAAAGCACCATGTTTTAAAAATTAGAGATTCCGTTGATTATTATTTATTTATTCCGATGCATTAATTTGCGTTATAATTGTTTACGTTAACATGAACAAGAACATGCTCAAAATCTTACTTACTCATCAATAAAACTTTTTTTCAAAATTTTTTTTTTAATTAATATACAAAATTAGAATTACGTGACGGCAAATAGCAATCAGAATTGAGTCCTTAATAGTATACAGTATCTCATTTATCATGTTTCATTACTATAGAAATCATTAAGAAAACTACTGAAGTATTTAAAAAGTTTTGGCAAATTCCATGCGCCATAATATATCATGGCCATTTTGTTCAATTCTGACTTAAATATATTAGTATTGCTTTAAACGATTAATATCTTGATAATATTGAATTACTTTTAGCTAAATGTAAATTATTAGAAGAATTATACATTTATAAAATCCTATCTTATTTTATTGTTATGTTATTGGATACTTTATTTAGAGTGCTCTGAGAACTTTATTCAAAATATTGAAATAACAAAACTGGATATCATTGGAAGTGTTGAAAACGTTGCATTGTAGAAATTCTCATGATTGTAATTAAGAAATTTTAATATTGTAACTTTAATGATAGTGATGCTTTTAAATGTTGTTTTATTAATTTATTTTTTTAACAAATATATATTTAATATTTAACTCTTTATATATGAATTATTTCTTTTAAGATTTTTACTTCAAATCACCGGGAGTGATCATCACCGTTGGCCAGAATTATCAATTTTTACCGGCACTATATTTTTTTAATACTGGTCGATCGTCATAATTTCAGTCACCGGTGATCATCACCAGTTAGAAAAATTCTTCTTTTAAATATATTGTCCAAAAAATTTATGAGAATTTTTTTTTTTTTTTAATATTATATTTATTGCATTTATGAGCATAACAGAATAAAATAATTATTTATTATATGTATCTGAGAAACAGAAGAAATTTATATTATTAAACGTAATTATCACATTTTTCAAGAAATAATTACTAGAAAAATCCAAAGTTAAAGCCGTATAGATCTTTCCATTTTTTTTAGACAATTTTAGATAATTCCAGTCAAAAGTATTACCTATTTTAGTAACTTGACTGGCATTAGCATAATTTCGGCCCTAACAGCTAATTGTAAAATTTCCCGAAATCACCTGACCTCTACACGTATATTTCAGGATCCTTATATACTCATTCATCTACCAAATTTATTAAAGCAAAATGTTTATAAAAATACTTTTTATACACTTAATTTGTAAATATTAAACTTGCATATTTTTTTACATTAAACATTTTTTTTTTTTTTAATATGAAAAAACAAAGATATTTAGAACTTTTATAAAATAAATAAATAATATAAACCTAAAAATTTATTTTCATCAAAAAATTAAAAAAATGCTATTTATATAATTATTTAGTTTCAATATAAAAAAATTAACTATGAGGACGAATTCCCCTACATAACATACAGCATAATACTAGTTTACCACATTATATAACGCACCATACATTTTTGCGCGGGACAAATTTATACTAAATATTATAAAATATTATAGTTGTATAAAAAGATTTATGTTTTGATGCTTTCACATTTTTACATTTTCATTCTTCTGTTTTTAAGATCTTTTTTATAATAGTTAAAAGAAATTTTTATTTGTAAATAAATATTTTGCGCGTTTTTTTTTTAGACTATATGAAGTTACATAAGGAATCGAGGATTTTTTTTCTCTATTTTAATAAAAGAAGCAATAAAAAAATTTTTAACATTGAACAGACCTTGTATTACACATGTGATTTTAAACAAACAAAAATCTTATAAAAAAATAAACAAATAAAATTTTTATAAACAGACAAAATCCTTATAAACGAACAAAAATTTTATAAACAAACAAAAATTAAAAATCTATGAGATCAAGCAACACTGAAAAAAATGTAAAATACGGGTTACTTTCTGAAATTCAAAAACAGAAACAAATAATAAGAAATTGTTAATATAATTTACCTTTTGTAGTGTTAATGTCCAATACCACAACTTGGTTCACCCGGTGGAGTGACCGTAGGGCAAATAGGTTTTTCATCTCTTTTTTCAACGGTTCTCGAAGAAATATAATCTCTTTCTTCAATAGTTTTTGTAGGAGCTGCTAGGGAAATAACGACAAGTGACAAGAGAATTGCGAGAATAAAATTTAATTTCATGATGTCTTAAAGAAGAAGGAAGTGTTTATGGTATGAGTTTTTGAAAGTTGTTTTTGAAAGTTTATATAGATTAATGTATTTATTTTTCTATTCTTTTTGAGAATGAAGTTGGAAATTCGATAAAAATCTGAGGATATTTATATTGTCGAATTGAGTGATCTAACGATCATTGAGAAGTTTTTCTATTGTCATAATTGGCTACTTCAATTGGTCGATTGCCATTTTGATCACAAAAACTAAAAACCAACCAAAATTTGCGATTAAAGTTCGAAGAAGGTGATTGATTGATCGGGATAAACTATAACTATTAGCCTTGATCAAAATGAGTTACGTTTTTGGTTAATCACGTTAATCACGTTAATAGGTTAGTTGATCATTCTACGGTTAAAATTTATTGGACAAAAATTTTTAGTGTAACCGATCAAAAAATCACGACTAGTGATACGCAAACTTTATACAATCAATAATAAGATGCACATAAAAGGTCTAAATTGTTTACGTTGGATATATCCAATAACAATATTTGATTAATTCGATTTTACTATAATCAGATATTTCCGATAATTAATTTTATAATTACGGTATTATTCGGCGTCGGGAATGCGACTTTTATGGGTAGTACATAATGATTGACCATCGGTTTTTATAGATGATCTGATCTGCACTTTGTGATGCATAAAGTGCCTTTGTACTATTTCGAAGGCCAAGTTAGCTAAATAGTTCTGAATTGTCTGATTGGATTAAAACCGGTCAGGACCGGTAATCATCTTTAGTAATATGTAATCTAACGTAAAAATGATGATTGGTGTATTACTATTAATTTAATAATGGACGATCAAAAAAATTTTTATTGTTAATAAAGCTTGATTTCAACTTTAACTTTATTCATCCGAAGCAGAGCGGAGGTTATTTACAGTGTAGGACAAAAAAATTACAATTATTCCACCAATAATAATAATTTGGGTTTATTGTCATATGAATTGTTATTTTTAACCATAAGATGGGTCAATAATATTTTATTTATCTATACGATATATTTAGTAGTATAGGTAATTCCATACTGACCAATTAATCAACTTGCAAATCACAACGATACCAATATTACCAATCAAAATACATCTGACAAATTTCAGGCACCAAATGTCAAAATTGGTGAACCTATTTTTATATTATTACACCAATTAAGGGAACCTCCTTAAACTCTATTGTGCGATTATTAGAATGGAGTTTCAATCATCATATAGATTATGCAGGAACAAAAATAGATACATTTTCATATGTATCCTTTATTAAAGTAGGTTTCTTTAGCGAGGTGACTAGAATCTCATACGTCAATGTAGTAGGGGGTTCACTAAAAATACAATTTTATTTTGAATAGCGAAGGGGAAAATATAACTTGCCCAATAAAAAAATTTTATCCGTTATTTCTGTAAAAACTCCATAAGAGACTTTCACGGATCCATTCACGGAAATGTAAATAATTCGATAAATTCGCGATATAAGGTTATTAATTCCGAAAAAAAGATGAAACGGATCGACCTTTTTTAATCCACGTTCGCAAGTTGCTGAGTTAGGACATATTGCAAATAGATAACTTGCAATTCTTGGCAGGACATCTGGTTCTGGTTCGGTATTAATATATTTCCACCAAATCACGGGATTATCTTTAGCAAAACCGATATCTAGGTCAAATGGCTCTTGCTCATTAATATATTTCTGTATTTGATCACATAAAGTTTCAGCTTCGTAATGGTCAAAACCTAAATTTTTCCCGATTGAAGCTGCACATTTGATAATTCTCATGAGGGCGCATTACAAGGTTGTAGACGTTCCAATTTTGTATATTATGTTCCAATTGATTTACCGTTAGAAGAAATAAAAAAAATTTTTGTAACAAAATTTGAAAAAAATTTTTAACTTATCGGTTAAAGTCCCATAAAGGAACACGCCACAGCTCAACATCTTCTTATAATAGAAATTAACCGACTCCCAAACAATTTACGAAAACTTTAGTTATAGAATTTGATACAACTAAAATTGTTAACACGATTATTAGTTGAATTAAAAAAAGGCAATGGTAATGAAAAAAAAAATTCTTTATATGGGCGCACAACGATTTTTGCTTAAATCTGTTAAAGGAATTTGTAATATAATAAATTTTAGGAGAAAATTCAATTCGTTAATTTTATTTTTTAATTACTTGATTTATCAATTTCAATGCGAACCGAATAATAGTATTTCGATCAACTAATTGCACGAATTGTAAATGTTACCACCGGTTTCTGACGTTCGGTAGGTAGTAACAGAAAGAAATATAAGGATCGGTTAATAAATGGCAGGGTAATATAACGATGTATGACACTGACAGGTGATAAGGTAAAAGTGTATACGAATAAATGATCATGAACGATAATAAGTGATGTGATAAATTGAGGGTAGTGTGTATATAAAAATAATTAGTGATATTATGTATACGTATAATCAACGGTGTATAACAAAAAACTAACAAATGATAATAAATGATAATGATAATGAACGATAATAAACAATAATAAATAGTGTGTTGTAACGCTCAATCTCGTGATATACCACATTGAGACGTTGATCTATTTAATAATAAAATATAATAAAAGTATAAAATAAGAATAATTCTATTAAATTTATATCTGAGAATCCGAAAGGATTCTACTGCGTTCATACGAATTTGACCCCTATACATAATAAATCATAAATCTATCTACTTTCCAGATATATTATTATCTTATGAAAATTTATTAGATGATGAAAGTCTGAAAATGGAACATCTAATTAGAGAAACTATGTCCAGTTATACTCATTGTTGATCTTTCTTAAGCCCCAATAATCTCTGTGCCTCGTTTAATAAATACTTACGATTTCTTATGTCTAGGTTTGATAGTTTAACGTCTTTCCGGACCGCAGTTGATAGAATAAAAATAAAATTTATACACTTAACCTAAATATAAAACTGCGCCTCATAATTATTAAAATTTAAAAAAGTATGAGAAATATCAGCGTTAATCAATAAAATTTTCTTTTAATAATATAAATAATGGAAATATTTACTCAAACAAAATTGTCATATGACAACGGAAAATAAATGTTTTGTAGTTGCATTGTTACAAGATTGTGTTTAAAAACTTTTATTAAATAATAGAATTTTTTTTTTATGTAAAAAAATTTGTAGTGATTACATTGAAAAAAAGGATGACGTAAATTGATTTTCTGATGCCGATCTGTCAACATTTCAATGAATGAGTCATTTTCTACGAGCACAAAGATTTTTGCAAAATGATATTACAACAAATTTGAAAGATTTGAAAAAAGTATTTTACATTAGATTTTTTTTTTTTAATTTTTGCCAATATAATTAAAGAATTTATAATTCATGTATGAAGTGATTGCCCAATTAAATATTATTTATACTATCGATTTTTCATTTAAAATTACTAATAAAATATGAAAAAAAAAAACTTATTTAGACTTGTAAATTTCGTATACATTGACAGATTAGAAAATTATAAATCAAAGGTTTTGGTAAATTGAAGAAAAATTCAATATTCATTTATAGTATGTTCTTTTCGAAGTTCAAAATAGAAAATACATTGATTTGATAAATATTAAGAATTAATATACCACAGTTCGCTTAAGTTTGTTTCATATTATACAAATTCACATAATACGACGTCTATAGTGTTAGTGTGCCACTTATTTATATGAAATGTACTTCCCCGAAAAAAATTTCAATTCACACATAAAGATCTATGATCTGAGCACTTTTAAGGATTATGTAATCAAATGATACAAAAAAAGGGATAAAGGGTGTTTAATAAAATTTGAACATTAGAAAAAAAATTCTAGAAAGTTATATTTTTAACATCATTAATAATTATGTAATTAAAAATACACATGTTAACGTATCAAAGAACAAAAATGAAAAGGATGTTAATGATTTATTGTATGGTACCAAGAGCAAAAATGTGAAAGCACAAATTCAGTAATAATATTATGCACTGTTTAATTATCGGTGTATATTATTGTGCCATACACCTAGATTTGACACTTTATATATTAGGTCTACGGAGTGGTAGGAGATTCATATGCGTGTCTCTTCGTATGTAGAAATGTAATGGATAAAAGAAAAGTTTTCAATAAATTGATCAGATTTGTTAATAATGCTATAGATTCCGCCATTAATATGATTGTATAAAGTTCACGTTAACTAATTACTGTAAAAAAGGGGAGGGAATGGAATTTGTTCCTTATGATAGATTTGAAGATGTAGAATTTATTGCTGAAGGAAGATTCAACAAAATTTACAAGGCTACATGGTTTGATGGTCCAATAATCGATTGAACGAAGAAGAACAAAAGTATAATCGTTATGGTGAAATAGCGGTTGTTCTTAAAGAAATTAATAATTCTGGGAACATAAATTCTATTAAAGAAAAATTCTTTAATGAAATTCTCTATCAAAAACAATCTCCCTATTAAAAAAAAAATCTCTAATAAAATTCTCCGTCAAAAAATAATTTCACCTATTAAAAAAAATTCCCAAAGAAATTCTTTATCAAGGAAAACTCTCTCCTATTAAAAAAAAAAAATTTTTATCAAAATTCTCTATCAAAAAATCTCTCCTGTTAAAAAAAATAGTTCCAACAAATTAGGTATATGTCAAAAAAAACCTTATTAAAATAAATTTTCCAATGAAATTTCTATCAAAAAAATTCTCTAACGAAATTTTTTACCAAAAAAAATCTTTTTATTAAAAAAAATTCTCAAAGAAATTCTATCAAAAAAGCCTTTACCTATATTAAAAATAAAAATTCTCTACAAAAATTGTTTTATAAAAAAAAGCCAATAAAAAAAAAAAAATTCGTGTAAAATTTAAAAAAAAAAAATTTTTAAAACTACGCTAAACTTAAAAAACATGTGATTGACAAAATATCATCCCTGTGCTGACAAAGAAACTAATTTTTGACAAAGATAAAATGAAAATTATCGATTATAGTTGGATTAAATCAAACACAGTTGGACAAAAACGTCAAGCACAGTTGGACAAAAATATCAAGCACAGATGGATAAAAACATCAAGCATGGACGGATAAAAATGTCAAGCATAGTCGGATAAAACCATCAAGCAAACCTTCAAGCACATATAGATAAGCACGTACAGACCGCGTACAGATGAACATCAAGCACATGATAGATAAACATCAAGCATCAAGCATGAACAGGTAAAATGTAAGGCACGGTGTAACATTTTGTCAATCCATGCTTGATTTTCACCTGCCCAATGGCTGATAGTTTAGTCCAACTCGGCTTGCCATATTAATAAAGAAAAAAAATCTTTTTAAGGAGAGTTTTGATAATATTATATATAGAAAAATGGCTTATAGACCCATTAATCCGGATATCCAATTTTGAAGTTATCCGTTCAATCCTGATAATACCCTTATCCGATGGATATCCAGGTTATCCGAAGTGTCAATTCGGGCCAATTTATAATTCCGGCCAGAATTATCATTCGCGAAAACGATCATTTCCTTTTTTGGCGATAGATGTAAAATAGGACTATAATATCCAGATATCCGGATATTAATCGGGATAAATTTATATCCGGATATCCGGATTGAACGAATATAAATCTGGTATGTCCGTTTGGATATCCGTAAAATACGGATAACAGATTCAAACTCTAAAATGGCTGAAAGTAATGACAAAGGTAAAAAGCACATAGCAAACAAATTAGAATATAGTAAAACTAGTTTCAAGTAAAATCAAGAATACTAAAGATAAATATAATATATTAAAACATACTGTGATAAACATTTATATTTAATATTTTCATGATTAATCGGAAAAATTTTGAAATAAATAATTTTATTAATTTTCAAAAAAAGATCCTTCGATTCACAAAGTTATCTCAAAAAGAATTAAAAGCACTGACGGTGGTCATGATAAACAAGATTTAGGTAGTTATATTTTTTTATTAAAATTTTAGAGAATTTTGAATAACTTTTAATCACTTGAAGTATTAGTTATTAATTATCATTCATTTTGTTATCAAAAAATTATTTGTTAATTTATTTTAGATTGTAAGTTATTTATTTAACTCTATTATTGTTTATATAATATTTACATATAATATAAACTAACTAAATTCTTTATTTGAAAAATTATTTAATATAGGGAGTAAGTTATTTATTAATTCTATCATTTATATACATAATATTTACATACATTTGAACTAATTAATTTCTTTATTTAAATCATTTGGTAATTTATTTTAGAACGTACGTTATAAGTTATTTATTTAATGCCATTACTACATATTTATATAATATTTACATATATTTAAATTCTTTATTAAAAAATTATTTTACAATTTCTTTTAGTTGGTAAGTTACAAGTTATTTTTTAATTCTATTGTTATATAATTGTAATTTAAACCTAAATTCTTTATTTAAAAAATTATTTCACAATATAGCAAGTAAGTTATTTTTTAAATATATTATTACATAATTGTATAATAATTGCATATAATTTAAACCACTAGATTCTTTATTTAAAAATAATTTTCTATTTTTGTTTAGTTCGTAAGTTATAAGATATTTTTTAATTATATTATTACATAATTGTATAATATTTGCATAATTTAAACTAAATTCTTTATTTAAAAAATTATTTCATAATATAGCAGCAAGTAAGTTAGATTTTATTATTACATAATTATATAATATTTGCATATAATACAAATTAACTAAATACTTTATTCAAAAAAAT